CGCGTTACTAGTATTATATATTACAAACGACCTGCCCCGTCTTCGCACGTGTAGATAAGTAGATATCTAATTTTTTTTTTTTTTGGGTTTTTACATTATTAAATTACATTACATTACAATAAAAAAAACCTTTTTATAATTTTAGCTCAGACTACAAAATAAACAAGTCGTATCTAAATGCTTTGCGTTTCGCTCTTTTAATGGAATTGATACTGTAAATATATAATACCAAACGGTGCTTTATCGAATGAGGTAATCGAATCGATTGATGGTTGACCTTCCCATTCTTTATTTAAATTTTGACAGCTGTTCGAATTTCATGTCTCATCTTTAAAAGAAAAAAAAAGGAAAGGGTATTACATAAAAGAAATAATACAAACTACATCATAATGTTATTTCGTTATATTTAATATAAATTATTATTATTGTATAAGGGAAAATGTTTTTTTAAAGGTAAAAAAAATCCTTGAAATCACTGCCTTCTGTTAGGGTACTGAAGTTGTCGGCCATATTGCCGCGCTGAATGGCCACAGAAATGTGTTGGCCAAAATATAGGCTAGTATTCTAGTCGCCAACTATTTATTAACTAAATAAATAATACTTACTATAAATGTATCAGTTTTTTTTTTATAAAATAAGTTATACATACATCTGTCAAAATAAGCACGAGAATGGGAAGGGATATAAGTAATTTGCTCCGCACATGAGACTGGTCAATTTTAACACCACACGGTGCTTGGATGGTAGATTTATAGTAACAAGGCCTCGAATGTAATCAGGCACTTGTATGTTAATGAATTTTTGTATAGACGAAGGTTTTATTCAAAATTTGAACGGAATCGTTATTCCTTTTGAATCTGTGGCTTCTTTTGTGTACATCTTTCGCGGTGCTTTTTTCTTTTTTTTTTTTTTATTGTTTAAGTGTAGCAATAATAAAATTGTCGAATGGCATTTTAAAAATATTGATGTATGTCCTTGGCCTGTAAAATTGAATAATATCACTTATATCGTCGAGTCATGAACCAAATATCTAAAATAAGGTGGGATATTTTTTTTTAACAAATAATGATTTACAATTTTAGAGATTTTACTAATCTTACGCAACGGGTTCTGTAACATTAGCTTGTATAGAATCAATGCCCAGCCTTATGATTTTAATGCTGTTTGGTATGACTACGCTACACATACACGGAGCTATTATTAATCGCTTCGATTAGTGGAAATGATATTTGTAATCATATTTTACAAAATATTTTTTTATATTGTAATATCCATCTGTTATTCGAAATTCAAAATTAAACTGTTCGTTCGATAATAGATTGAACTTCACCACATACGTTCAGTCTATTAGCGAACGAACCGTTTAATTTTGAATTTCGAATATCAGATGGATATTACAATCGTTTCGTGTATGTTGAGCTTCATATTCAGCGAAAGATTTGACTGAACTAACATTTCTCTAATGTTGGTTTATATAATTAAATTATAAAATCTATTTATAGATTTATAATAATAATTGATAATGTAATTTGCCTTAGAACGATCCACCTGTATGCTTTATTTTATGAAAAAAAAAAAAACTACAGCACACAATTTTATAAAAAAAAAAATATGTAATCTGATAGTATGCATCAGTTGACTGGGACATGCCAGTTCTAGAGCGATATCGACTTATAAATTTTATTATTTGAAACTAAAAAAAAACGCATTTTTTTTATTTTGGCGCCAATTGGCTTAGAAAGAGAACTGTTAAAAATAATTCAACGTGTAAGTTTGAAGAATGATACTTAATTTTAAAATTATTTTAACTGAAAATAATTTAGTTTAAGCATTAATGTAACTTCTGATTAGTCATTATCACCGCACGAATGAAAATATGTATATTTTGTACAGATATTAAGGACGAAACTCCAATTTTAATGCAATCAGTCGATCAGAAAATGGCGACTGACATGTATATCGATATTTTGTGTACAGTACCTAATATTTAGAATAGGGTAAGTAAACGTGCCTAATTTATAGGATTTCAAGTTGTTATTTATTGGCCAAATAAGCTAATATCTACTTTCTGCCATAAAATACTTTTCTTTAAAAACCAAAGACTCAATTTCCGATACTTTTACAATCACGGATACATGTGCCCTAGTCTTATGTTGGCCGGAAGTAGTATAAGGCACCAATAGTGAAGTACTTTTTAAAATTGTATTCAACAATCCTTGTTTTATCAACAAGGAGTGAAAAAGTCAACGATTGTTTCTTATATAAGATTGATCATGTCAGTATCTGTCGGTGCCGATAAGGATTTTCCTGAATCTAAGCGTTATATTAAATTTATAAAATGTAATCTTGAATTTATTACATTTAAAATTCGAACAATAAATTTTGTGACGATAATCGTTCCGTGCATCTAAAGCTTAGACTATGAATAGACAAAAGACAATTTTTTTTTTCGAATAAACAAAGTAACTAACCTATTCAGCTTATAATAATTTTAAAATTTAAATGAGATTCAGGAAAATTGTTATTACTCTTGAAAAATATTATAAGCCATCTAACTTTGCTACTTACAATTTATGATACTATGCTTATCCCTTTCTTTTATCTACTAACTTGCTCGAACTATAAAAGACAATTTTCCGAGTCAATTGTTTTTGGTTCTCTTTGATTTCATATTTTTATGCGAATCATTGAGCGTCGAATAGTGTTTGTTTTAGAAAACAAAACCTTTTTTAGATATAATAACGAATTTTAAGTCATTCTTTTAATAAACACACTATTGTGTAATTTGTAAATAAATTATTTAGCGCATTTTGTACGTTACGACATTATTTTATTTTTTATTTGAGATTACCGCAGTATTTTACAAGTTATATAACGTTAGCCATAGATAACCTTCTTAATAATGTTTTTTTTTTTGTCAATATCATTCAAAAATAAATTATTGTTAAATCTTTTCAAGATATAAAGAACTTAATTTGTATTTATGTGTTTTATTACTGATATTTCAAAATCAAATTTATCTCCCGCAATTAGTGAGATATCCTAAGACTTCCTCTTTAGGTATGTGCGATTTAAATATGGGGTTGATTTTAAGGTGCCATTTCTGTAGTCTTTAAAATTTCAATGTAAAAAGGAACGAATTAAATATCTAATAAAATTAAGTCAATATTATTATGAATTTAGTTTGACTTTTTTAGTTTATTTTTTAGTTTGATTGGTCCATAAAACAGTAATATCGCGAACTATTAAAATAATAGGTTATAAGCGATTTCACTTCAGAATCGACCTCTTTGGAATTATAATTCGGTTTATGATTTACTAATGGCAACAATTTACAAAATGGTTTTAGATTTATCCCTAAGAACAAGGAATGATGAAATAAAAACTAAATCATATGGTAACCTCCTTTCTTCTTATGCAAATATAATTAGTAAAAAGAGGACGAAAGATACACCATCAGTTGGTATTATATACATGCACCAAAAGAGACTTATCAGTTATGAATGAAAGTGACAAAACAGCGTAATAATTAATATATGAGAGAATCACCATATGGTCCCGGCATGGAATAAACTATCCCTTACTTTCCCGTTGGTGTAGTAAGAAGAAACAAAGGTAACTTAATCGTTGAAGGATGTGCCGCAGCGTCCCTCTTAAAGCATCACTAAAAATAAACTGCGGTTGCCAATTCGCCTGCCAAGGGTGGCAATTACTGGCAAAGTTCTTCATTTGGGGGATTTCTACAGGAATACAAACATTGATTTGAACAAAACAGAATGATTGCCGACCATTGTCATGGCTAATCCAATTTATGAGTTTTAATAGAAGTACTTACTTAAAATTTACGTAATATATACCTCGCCATGCCATTATCAATAATATTATTCATAGGGCACTAGTGATAGCACAAATGTTGACGATTTTGGAAACAAATGGCATTTTCCGTGAGGATGGGAAGCGACCTGATAGCGTGACTTTGGTCCCTTGGAAAATGGGGAAGTGCTTGGTGTGGGATGCGACGTGTACCTATAGATACATTGGCTCCGAGCCATTTTTTTTGTGGATGAAAATGGAATGGTAACCCCGCCTGCGCTAACGGATACGCTGGCGGAGCACCAGTGAAGGGTGATCGATGAGAATGAAAACAGGCCAGTTAGTCCATCATGATGAATTCATTAGGAATTAACCATGATAGTTTAATAGGGGGAACCACGAGGAGGTAGACCTGGTTGGGTATATTGCTAGCAATGGGATTTTTAGTCTCCATTACTAACACTTTCCCCCCGCTCCGAGCCATTTATCTAGATTGTCCTTTTGTTCGGGTGCAGCGGCAGTAACAGCGGAAACAGTAAAGATGCGTAAATACTCACATTTGGAGAGGTCTTATTGTTTCTTGTAATTTTTTTCATTCATGGGTCCGTGGGGCCCAGATGCAAAGAATTTTTATCGGGCTATCGCAGCGCGCCTCATCGAGGTTACTGGTAACTCGAGAGCTGGTAGTTACTTTGCGCAAAAAATAAGTTTAGTAATCCAAAGAGCTAATGCTGCCAGTATATTGGGTACGTTGCTTTGTAGTGGTGCGTTGGTAGATTATTTATAAGTAGTAATATTATTTAAGAAATTGCATTTAAATTTTAATTAATTGATGCTCTGTATTTGTTAATATAATAAATATACCTATACGACTAAAAAAATATAATAAAGTCTACAATTTGCGTTTTCGATATTTTTCGACTATGTAAATATATGTTTTTTGACTTTTTTACAAATGAGAAGCTCCTTTATCTTAAAAAAGTAAAGTCGCCGGACTACGACTCGTCGTTTTCAAGTAATTCGCTTTACCTGGGCTGTTCGTTATGCCCGTACTTCCTTAGAAAGTAAATTAGAAATAATAACAATTTTTACATTGTATTATAAATAATTGATTTTCGTTATCTATATCTAAGCCAGCCTTTTAGAATGAGAATTTGAATGTAATATCTGTGATATGTTCTATCTGTGCTTATATTGTCTAATATGACAGCGACAGGACAGTAAGCAGATTTTGAGGTTTGACATTTTGCAATGTAATCATGGCGTCGGAACGGTATAGTTTCTCTCTCACAACTTTCAGGTAAAAAATATGTTTTTAATTATTATTTATATGTTTTTATAAATTAAGTGTATTCATTATTATGTGCCGATATTAACTTATACATTCGTCATCGTTTAATAAGGATAAATAAAGTAAATATTGTGTTTGAAAACTCGTTACGGAATACCTTTACAAAATAATTGAAAGTGTTATATTTATTTCTAGCCCTTCGGGAAAATTAGTGCAAATTGAATATGCATTAGCGGCTGTGGCAGCCGGCGGTACCTCCGTCGGAATAAAAGGTATTTTAATATGTACTTTTAGGTTAGTTGAGAGTTATGAGCAATTTCCTACAATAATTTTCATTAACTCTTACGTTTATGCTTGTATTTTGAAAATAATTAAATGGTAAACGGGAGTGTTAGTGTGTTCATATGTTTTGTATCAAGTAATTTCTATTTATTATATTTTTAATTTGTACTTTTTATTTTTATTTTAAATAGTATTTTTGTACATGACTTGCAATTGTTTATGTGACCCATAAGTATAGGAGAATTATTGTTTATTTTATATACAGTATTTCAGTTGTTTCTTATATGTTAAGAGGTCACTCAAAAACCGCACATTGATTTAAAAAAATTATTTTTTATTTTCATGAATCTGAGTCATTTTGTTATGGTGGTATTATACTTTTAAATCAATAAATTTTTTGCAGCATCCAATGGCATTGTGATTGCTACTGAGAACAAACACAAGAGCATACTGTACGATGAGCACAGTGTGAACAAAGTTGAAATGATCACTGGTCATATTGGTTAGTAATATTTTTTTTTATACAACTTAGAATGGCAAACAAGCTGACGGCTCACCTGATGGAAAGTGGTAACCATCGCTTATAGATATGAGCAGTACCATTGACATAACAGAGGATACTGTTTCGCCCATGATACCCCCCATGCGTTGCCATTTCTGAGGACTCAGGTGTTATTTCTCTGTACCCTGTAAATTCATGTCATATTGTACCCTTTAAACCGAAGACAACCATGCAAACACAACTGCTCCATGGTTGAAACACGAATGGGACAGAAGTATCCAAGCAAACGACTTTTGTACAAAGTCTTCTCTGGTACAAAAAATAGATAATCTAAATAAGTATACAGTCATGACACACCTCACACATAGACACACTTTTCTCACACAGGTGTACACAACAGACATATTATTATACAGGGTGTCCTAGAAGTCGATGTCCAGCTGGAATTGGGTAACAACAATAAAAACAATCTAAGTTATATGTTTTAAATATTAGTCTCACTCTTACTTCCTTAAGTGACATTTCTATTGATATAACAGACACATACACACATTTGTACATACGCATACACACTCAATTATACACACATACTTCTATACATACAATCTCACACACAGCTCTAATTCTACCTTTGGCATATTTGCAAGTAAGTTATTGAAGTCGCTGGTGGAAGACCCAAAAAAAAACCAATTTTATAAATATAACTAAATTTAATTCTAAAAATAATTATTACAATAATAAGTATCTTCAGATCGATGTGTGATCCGTAAGTGAAGTTATATAAAATCAAACATAAAGGAAATGGGTATTTTTGCTGCGGAAATTGAAATGCTGACTGGATGCAGGTGTCTTTCTCGGTAGCGCACCTTCTTGCGTCATGCTAGGTGGTCCGATCCGATCGCCGTTGAGGGTGTGTCGTAATACTTGATAGATATCTACTATAACAAGTAAACATGAATTAAACATTTAAAAAAAAATATTGAATCCACTTACAGTTGACTAAAGTGCTCTTTTTTTATATCACCAGGCATGGTATATTCAGGAATGGGCCCAGACTACCGACTGCTCGTCACCCAAGCTCGCAAGATGGCGCAGCAGTACTATTTGATGTACCACGAACCTATACCCACCGCTCAACTCGTGCAGAGAGTCGCTACTGTTATGCAGGAGTACACACAATCCGGGTAAGGCACAAGTGTTTCTTAATCACAATTAAACATATTGAACAAAGTTTAAATGCATAAGGGCCAGGTTATTTTAGACAAGCATACAACACAATATCAGAAATGTTTTCTCCCATGAACACTCAGGTCATGGAAATAGGTCCCTGGCTACATTTTCCCCAGAGACTACAGTATAGGGTTCTTTAAAAGGGGGGTAAAGAGGTTTTTACAGAGTCGGCAACACATGTGTAATACCCCTGGTATTGCAGCCGTTCATGGGCTATGGTAACCACTTACCAGCAGGTGGGTAGTTTGCTACCTCAATGGTATATAAAAAAAAAGGCATGGTACATTAAAATACATGTTTTGAAAATATAACATCTTCAAAAACTGTTAAATCCTATTACCTCTCACTTTAGTACTATTTTCCTGTGTTCCCTCTTGGTTTTCCTTTGTCATTTTTTTTTTCTGTTGTATGTGTGCTATTAAGTATGTGTATGTTATGTATATATTTAATTGTGTATATATTATATATGTATGTGTATGTATGTATGTATATATGTTTGTATATGATAATATTTATATAATAGTGCGCCACCCTTTGTCTTTTTCTCAATGTCCTCTACCCAATTGTTGTCTGGAAGAGATTGCTTAGCGATAAGGCCGCCTTTTGTATCACTTCTCATTAATATTTACTGTATTTGTTATTTCTCTTTTTACTTGGTGCAATAAAGTGTAAAATAAATAAATAAACATCTGTTGAGATGTAATTCTATCACCATCATGATATCGGCCACTATTGTCTATTGCTGCAGATAGGTGCCCCTACGAACTTGTTATAAGGAATGGGCCTGAGCTACCTACATTCATTGACTCCCTTCAATACATTTGAGGTGGTCACTCCATCTAGTAGGGGTTTTTTTTTATGGGTGAAAATGGTATGGTAACCCCGCCTGCGCTAACGCTATACGCTGGCGGAGCACCAGTGAAGGGTGATAGATGAGAATGAAAACAGGCCAGTTAGCCTATCATGACGAATTCATCAGGAATAAACCATGTTTCCCCCCTGTTATCCCTCACTGGTGCCCCACAAGTGTATATTTATAGCGCAGGTGGGGTACCCATTCCATTTACACCCATTAAAAAAAATTACTCGCATTGGTATTGTTGCGACTGACTATCGGTGACGGTAGATTTTTACCAGAGGGAGACTCTGTACAAAAGTCGATTGCTTGGGTACCTCTGTCCCATTCGTGTTTCAACCGTGAAGCAGTTGTGTTTGCATGGCTGTGTTTCGGTTTGAAGGGTGGGATATGGCGTGAATTTACTGGGTACAGAGGAATAACACCTGAGTTCTCAGGAATGGCAACGCATGGGAGGTATCATGGGCGAAACAGTATACTCTATGATGTCCATGGTATTGCTCATGTCTATAGGCGACGGTTACCACTTTCCATCAGGTGGGCCGTCGTCTTGTTTGCCATTCTAAGTTGTATAAAAAAAAAAAGGTCCGCCTTTTGTACCATAGTTTCTTTCGGTCAATAAAGTTATTTAATTTAAATAAATAAATGTGATAGTAGCCTGAGGGAAATTTTATCAAGGAAATTTTGAAAAGTTTATGCAGGCCTTTTAAAATACTATTGACATTACAGAGGTGTGCGTCCCTTCGGAGTGTCTCTGCTGATATGCGGTTGGGACAACGACCGCCCATACCTGTTCCAGTGTGATCCGTCCGGTGCTTACTTCGCATGGAAGGCCACTGCCATGGGCAAGAACTTCAACAACGGGAAAACATTCCTTGAAAAGAGGTATGATGGTAGGCACGGGTGATATGGATACCGGTCTGATATTTGTTGGGTTCCTCTGGACATTGATGGCGGGAAAACAGGTCATCACCCATTTCGATAACGCCCATATCGGTCGGATATCTATTTTCGAATATGTCAAAAGTCTGTTATCCAATATTATTTTTTGAGTAACAGACTTTTAACATATTCGTTATTGCACCAGTATATAGATATTATAACTAAAATATATATATATTGCTATATATTACCCATACCTAATGTGGAGTACAGGGGGGAAAGAGATTGTTAGTAATGGGGTCAAATAGCCCCATTACTAGCAATATATCCTGTCAGGTCGACCTCCGCGAGGAGTTTGACAGCCCCATTGCTAGCAATATGCCTTATTAGGTCGACCTCCACATGGTTCTCCCTGGAAACCGTCGTGAACAATTCTTGTCGAATTCGTCACGATGGGCTAACTGACCTACTTCATCTCCTCACCTATCATCCTTCACTGGTACCCCGCCGGTGTATACCGATAGTGCGGGCGGGGTTACCATTCCATTATCATCCATTAAAAAAAAAATCAGGGCTTATGTATTTACTCTTCATAATAACATTGTAACAACTCTTATGTTATAAATAAATATTATATTATTAATAAATATAAATAAGGAAATAAATAATAGTTGCTTATTAAATAGAAAATTAATTTGTTAAGTAAAATATTAATTTATTTCTCTTTCCACCATTGTGTAAAGCTGATGTGATTTGTTATTTTTAGCTAGCTAGTTATTTTTAGATGAAAGAGGTTTAAATTTTCCGTATACATTCTGCCTCTGTGTCGGCGTGCAAATGTTTAACAAGAAATTTACATATATATGTAATATATTGTAAATATTTTATGTCAATCGTTTTTTTTTTTTTTATAAAACTTGGAATGCCAAACAAGTAGCCACATTAAAAGTAATTCTACTTCAAAATGTTACAACAATCCAAATTTATTTTGTTCATATTCCCGCCAAATAAGCTTCGACCTTATAGTGTAGGTGAATCTCCTAATTTTTTTTTCAAAGCTAATTTTTTTTTATTTTTTAAGTACGTTTGTTCCGTTGTGGAACAGACTAAGGTTGGAGACCATGCTGCCTAGTCTTCAATATGATAAATTGGATTTTTTTTTCTTTTGCATTGCCTGACTTTTTACTTTATAATCTACGGGATCGTGTAATTTCACTGCCATAACCAACAATATTTTATTTAAATGTTATAAAAAAATTGACCATGTTTTTCTACCATACAGATATACGGAAGAGTTGGAGCTCGATGATGCAGTGCACACAGCTATCCTGACCCTCAAAGAAGGCTTCGAAGGTCAAATGACTGAAGATAATATAGAAGTGGGTATTTGCGACGCGAGTGGTTTCAGGCGGCTCGAGCCGGCGCACGTTAAGGATTACTTGGCGAATATACCATAAGTAGTTTAATATTTTGATCGGAATAAATGATTTTTTTTATATATATATATTTAAGATTTTTTATTTCTTAACTTTTACCTTACCTAAAAACAAAACCTGCAATTCTGTTTACGTGGATTTTGGAAATATGAATAAACTACTACTAGATGGCGTTATAAGATAAAACACGCCAGATTTTAAGCTTTTCGGGAACCATTGTCAGCACAGAAACTGATTTGGTACCATAGATTTGTGTAATTCCGAATCACAATATTTGTCTATGACAAAAATAAAAAATATCTCGAATCAGTTACAGTTATATATATATATATATATATATATATATATATATATATATATATATATATATATATATATATATATGTTAAGAATTGTAGCTTAAATAAATTTCGCCTGGCAACATTTTTACAAAATAAAAAAAGTCTGTCGGTTGTTATCGAATGTGTCGGTAGAACGTACGTTCGTTGTCGTCGTTCTCGTTTAAAAATATTATCGCACGCGTGCATATATTGCCGCGAATATCGTTTGTCTTTTCGTATCGCTTTTTTTAATCATATCACACATAACCAAGAGGCTGATTGAGAGGAGGGCATTGCACTGCTGGTCGGTTCAAGGCGGTGGATAGGTAACCTGGATCTGAAGGTAAGTTCGAACGAGCCAGAAGTACTGGGAAGCCTAAAGCCAGAACCGAATCCTGCAAACTACAAAGTTTCAGGTCAGTGGTCTCCACTTTCATTATCCTCTTGTGTTTCTTATGTTAACTACCACCATTGTATTAAAATTTCATACAGTCCACTAATAACCGTTGCCGGACGATTAATTTCATTTTTTGTAAGATCTTATTTTACGAACGGTCAACATTTTGTTGGTCCTTCGGCGGATTTTGTTGTAAGGCGATCTTTGGATAATTTAGTGTAATTTCGAGTTTAAAAAACTAATTTTCGTAATTCTTTCGCATTATTAATTTTTTGTAAAAATAAGTGGGTACTTTTACATCATACATTAGCAATCAGGATTTCTTCCATTTTGACGCCATATTGCGTTTCGTTGTATTAATTTCATGAAACGTTTTGTTCCATCATTTTGTCGCAATAAATCTCGCCGATCGTTTTTATTGAAATAACTTTTTGCAAAATAATAAAAACATTATTCATTGAATATAAATAAATATTTTCATTGTTAATATTGATAATTTAAAAATCGTAATTCTTTATCTAAAATATTTAAATTGATTTTGCGCTAATAAAACTTATCGTTTCAGAACGTATCTTAAAAGTGACTGTCAATGTAAAAATTGATTGTCATATTTTGTTTTCGTAATTTGGTTGTCAATTTCGTTTGTTTTGATTTTGTTGTTTGTTATTTTCCAAGTTATTTCATTTTATTTGGATATTGCGTTGTAATTAAAAAATAGTTATTTTGTTAAACAATGGAAACCAGTCGTTCATCGTTGGATGCAGGCGATAGAAATCGCATTGGGCGTGATTATGCTTTTGCCCGCATAGAAATGATGGAGGGCACCGATTTAATTGGTTATAGTTTACAGGATGTAAAGGATATTGAGGATGATTTCCATAAGTCACAGTTGGAACTATTAACATCGTTGTCCGGGAGTGATACATCCAGTGAATTAAAATTGTCATTTCGTTTTGAGCAAATAGTAAAATCAATAAAACATCGTTTGAAAAATATAGAACAGAAACCTGTTATATCGTCTAGTGGTAGTAGTAATATGAAATTACCCAGAATTATTATAAAACCCTTTGACAGCCGTATTGAAAATTGGGTCTCTTTTATTCAGTTGTTCGACTCACTAATTCACTCTAAAGAGATAGCACCAGTAGAAAAACTTCATTACTTATTGTCAAATGTTCAAGGTGAAGCTTTAGATTTAATAAAAAATTATCCCCTTTGTGATGAAAACTATTTGTTAGCATATAACACCTTAAAACACAAATATGAACAAAAAAGAGTCATCGCTACTGTCTTTTATGAAAGATTATTAAATTGTGAATCAGTGAAGTCAAAGAGTAGCTTAGAATTAAACAGAATTTGTCGAACATTTAAAGAAAATTTAGATATACTTTCGAAATACCAGTTACCTGATAGTAATTTCATGTTATTTAATTTGTTGTGGAGTAAATTGGATGCAGTAACAAGGGAAGCATTTGAGTTACAACTGGATTCAAATGTTGATATACCTAAATATGAAAATTTAATTAACTTCATAGAAAAAAGAAGTCGAGCCTTGGAGAATTCAAACACATCAAAGTCAAATATTATTACTAGTAAACCAACAATTAGGTCAAAACCATCGCTTATTGTGCCTTCGGTTAACTGTATTGCTTGTTCTTCTTCCAGTCATAGTGTGGAGAAGTGTTCAAAATTCAATAGCTTGTCACCCTTTGAAAGATTCTCTTTAATAAAAGAAAATAAACTGTGTATTGGATGTTTTCGGCCCTCACATATTGTAAAGAATTGTAGAACATTTAGCAATTGTTCTAAGTGTAAATATAGACATCACACTTTACTTCATTTTGACAAAGGTGATAATACAGAGCTTTCACCGCAAGCTTCAGCAGTTACCACCACCTTGGCTGTATTGGGCACTAAAACTCAAGTTTTGTTTTCAACTGCAGTTGTTCTCATTAAAACTAAATTAAATAAATGGACACCTATTCGTATTCTTTTGGATAGTGCTAGTGCTTGCAATTTTATTACACACACCTGTGCAAGGAAACTTGGACTTCACATTGGGAATACCAAACAATCTGTTAGTGGTATTGGTCATGTGTCAGCGGACACACTTGGATCAGTCGCTTGTGAAATTATTCCATCAAATGGTGATGTCACTTGTAAATTTTCATTTGAAGCTTTTATTTTACCAAAGATTTGTTCAGATATGCCATCCGGACAAATTGATGTCTCGGCTTGGAAACATATTCTGGATTTGGATCTTGCTGATCCCTCGTTCCACATACCTGGACCTATCGATATGTTAGTTAGTGTTAACATTTTGACATCAGCACTTCAAGAAGGCCTTGTCAAAGGCAATGTAGGTCAGCCCATTGCTGTTAGCACTGTATTCGGCTGGGTAGTGATGGGAGAATGTGCTACTCATGTTGATTCTTATCGTTCTCATCGTGTCTCTAGTTCCACAAACAATGATTGTCTCTTTGTTTCAAGTTGGTCTTTGGACAGCAATATTAAACGTTTTTGGGAATTAGAAACTATTGATCCCCCAAATCTGTCGTACTTTCGAAATCAGAATTATCGTGTGAAAACTATATGAACGCTTCATATTGTCGTAGTCCTGAAGGTAGGATGGTAGTACCATTAACTTTCGTTGACCCTCAGGCGAAGCCCAAGTTTTGTAATTCTCGTGAGATTGCTCTCAAGCGTCTTTTAAATTTGGAGAGGAAATTTAAAACAAACCCTCTATTTCGGACTGCTTATGTCAAATTCATGGATGACTATTTTCAAAGTGGTCACATGGAGGAAGTTGAACCACCTTCATCGAATGATGGTAATTTTTATTACATTCCGCATCATGGAGTGATGCGGCCTGACTCGGCTACTACTCCTTTGCGTACAGTATTCGATGCAAGCGCCAAGGATACTACAGGAAGGTCCTTAAATGATTCTTTATTACCGGGCCCTAAGCTGCAAAAGAACATTTTTGACTTGTTAGTCAGATTTCGTTGGCATGCAGTTGTGTTCACTGCAGATATCAAGCAGATGTATCGTCAATTTCTTGTTCATCTTCGAGACTGTGATTATCAACGCATTTTGTGGCGTCCTTCTCCTAATGATCCTGTTAGGGATTTTCGATTACTCACAGTGACTTATGGTGTATCCTGTGCCCCATATCAGGCTCTTTGGTGCATTGCTAGGTTGGCAAAGGAATTTTCGTCTCTTGCTTCACGTGGTAGTGCAGTATTAGCTAGAGATACTTATGTTGATGACGTCGTATCAGGCGCCGATTCTGTAGAGAATGCTCTGCAAATACGTCAGGAATTAGTAGAAATTTTGTCGTCGGGTCATCTTCACTTGCGTAAATGGACTTCAAACTGTCCAGAATTTCTAGAAAAGGTGTCAGATTCCGACTTGTACTCGGAGCAACTTCGTGATTTTGAAGATGTTCGTGATGTTTCGGTTAAAATATTGGGTCTTTCATGGTTTCCTGGGGATGATCTTTTTACATTTAAGACATCTTCCAGTGATACTCGTTGTACCAAGCGATCCATTCTGTCGGACATCGCTAGAATCTTCGACCCATTGGGTTTGTTAGCACCAGTGGTATTTCTGGCAAAATATTTGATACAACTTTTGTGGTTATCGGGTGTCGATTGGGATAGTGATGCTCCCGTCACTATCAGTCAAGAGTGGTCTAAATTTAAATCAAAATTGTCGTCGTTAAGTTCGTTTTCCATTCCTCGCAGAATGGTCGAGTCTTTCGAGTCATTACAACTCCATGGGTTCTGTGATGCCTCGGAAAGAGGTTATTGTGCCGTCATATATTGTCGTGTCGTTAAGAATGATGGTTCTGTCGTCGTGCGCTTGTGTTGTGCAAAATCAAAGGTAGCTCCTCTACGTAAGTGCTCAATTCCACGTTTGGAATTGTTAGCAGCTGTCTTATTGTCGGACTTAATTTGCTCATTTGTCGATGCTTTAAAAGAGTTTTATCCCTTTAGTAATATTTATGCTTGGTCAGATTCAACTGTCGCTCTGACTTGGATTCGTGCTTGTCCATCTAAATGGAAAACTTTCGTGGCTAATAGAGTGGTAAATATTCAGGAGAAAGTCCCTCCGCAAAATTGGCATCACGTTTCTGGGTTTGAAAATCCAGCGGATTGTGGTTCTCGCGGCTTACTTCCTGTTGATTTAGTTCAGAATACGTTATGGTGGGCGGGACCTGCCTGGCTCTCCAACCCTGAAGTGTCGTGGCCACATTCAGAGATGTCGTTCGATCAAGCCGCTGCTGATGAACAAAAGATTTATAGTCTTTTCACAGCCTCTAATATGTCGTTTATAGATGATTTATTAAATAGATTCTCGTCGTTACAGCGCGCCTTGCGTATTTTGGCTTATTGTTTTAGATATATTCATAATTTGCAAAACCCTATGCTGAAAAATAATTGTAATTTGTCGGGTGCAGAGATAAATCAAGCGTTTCGTTTTCTAGTGAGGCATGTTCAGGAGCGTTGTTTTGCATCAGAATTTTGTAGTTTATCGAAGGAAGGATCGTCGCTTTCCATTTCCAAACCCATTCGAAAGTTGTCTCCATTCTTGGATGAACATGGTCTTTTGAGGGTGGGCGGTCGGCTTTCCAAGGGAAACCTAACTTATGATGTCAAACATCCAATTTTATTGCCTCGTAATCATAAATTAACAACACTCATTATCGAAGAGTATCATCATCGGTTTATGCACCCTGGTATGCAAACTTTGAAAAACTTATTATCTCAAGAGTTTTGGATATTGTCTTCGAAGAGAGCTATTCATGCAGTAATATCCTCGTGTGTAAAATGCTTTCGTGCTCATCCTAGAGTTGCAGCGCCACCTATCATGGGTAACTTACCAGCGTGTCGTATCAATCAAATAAAGCCATTTTCGGTTTCGGCAGTCGACTATGCTGGTCCTTTCGATATTAGTTTGGGTCGTGGTCGTGGTACACGTACATTTAAATCGTACGTATGTGTTTTTGTATGCACTGCCACCAAGGCAGTGCACCTTGAACTCGTGTCTGAGTTAACTACGGAAGCATACCTAGCAGCTTTAAGGCGCTTTATCGCTCGGCGCGGTCGTTGCTCTCGGTTGATTTCGGATCAAGGTAGAAATTTTATCGGTGCAGCAAATGTATTGCATGACTTGCTGCAAAATGCTACGCATGTAGAACAAATTGAATTTGTCTTTAATCCACCCGGTAGTCCGCATTTTTCCGGTTTAGCAGAAGCTGGTGTGAAGTCAATAAAGACTCATTTGTCTCGTGTAATAGGTATACAACGTCTTACTTTCGAAGAGTTTTATACCGTCTTAGCTCAAATAGAGGCCATGTTAAACTCAAGACCTCTATCGCCTATCAGTTCGGATCCCAATGACTTTTCGGTGTTGACTCCTGGTCATTTTCTCACCATGGAACCTCTCACTATATTACCTGAAAGTAATCTAGTTGATATAAAATTGGGACCGTTGCAGCGTTGGAAATTGCTACAAAAAATCCATCAGGATTTCTGGCGCAAGTGGCATTTAGAGTACTTGCATACCTTGCAGTCGCGTCTCAAATGGTACAACAAACAACAGGAGATTGATGTCGGCACTCTTGTTCTCATTGTCAATGAGCAATGCAGTCCAATGAAATGGAGGATTGGTCGAGTAGTCAAACTTCACCGTGGTACTGATGGAGTTTGTAGAGTCGTTACCATTCGAACCAATTCTGGTGAATGTAAGAGGCCAGTCGTTAAACTGTGCCCTCTACCGTTATCAAATTAAAGACCTTTGTTAAATTTTTGTCGTTTAACTTGTCGTTATTTATCGTTAAATTAATTGTGTCGTTTGAAAGGAAACCTATTGCTAATGTGTAATTAGGAAAATATGTTGTATTTTGGTGGGCGGAATGTTAAGAATTGTAGCTTAAATAAATTTCGCCTGGCAACATTTTTACAAAATAAAAAAAGTCTGTCGGTTGTTATCGAATGTGTCGGTAGAACGTACGTTCGTTGTCGTCGTTCTCGTTTAAAAATATTATCGCACGCGTGCATATATTGCCGCGAATATCGTTTGTCTTTTCGTATCGCTTTTTTTAATCATATCACACATAACCAAGAGGCTGATTGAGAGGAGGGCATTGCACTGCTGGTCGGTTCAAGGCGGTGGATAGGTAACCTGGATCTGAAGGTAAGTTCGAACGAGCCAGAAGTACTGGGAAGCCTAAAGCCAGAACCGAATCCTGCAAACTACAAAGTTTCAGGTCAGTGGTCTCCACTTTCATTATCCTCTTGTGTTTCTTATGTTAACTACCACCATTGTATTAAAATTTCATACAGTCCACTAATAACCGTTGCCGGACGATTAATTTCATTTTTTGTAAGATCTTATTTTACGAACGGTCAACATATATATATATATATATATATATATATATATAAATTATATATATATATAATAAATTATTAACACAACTCTGAATGAAATTTGTTTTTACTGTTCTAAGACTGCATCGTAGTCTTAAAAAAATAAAATTAATCTGATAATTTCTAATTCCACTTCTTTACAATTTCTAATAGATGTAAATCAAGATTATTATAAATTTAGTTTAAAGTAGTTCATAAAATAGTAATTTGGTGGAACTATGAAATTATCAGGTTAATAGAAAATTAGAGATATGGCGCCTCAGAATCGATCTTATTGCCTTTATAGTAAAATCTGTGCCTCTAGTGAGAAAGGTTATAACTCAAGTTATAGCCTTTTTCTTTTTTAGGCTACTTTAAATAAGCAAATTTTTCTCTTTCGAATGGTATAAGAATCGTAACGATATCTTTAAAAACAATAGAGATAGTAAACATGTAAAAGGCTACAATTAACAAAATATTTGTGGTAAAAAAGTCATAATTAGAAATAAAACTACAATATTTTACAAAAATTATTTTTGTAAAATGAATCAGTTCGATTTGAACCCTTCTACACCATTTAATAGCGATTATTTTTTATAGCGTAAAATACACAACATTGTTTTTCTTCAATACTTCAATAAAATCGTTTTAATTCAACTTAAAACTATTTTCACATCATAATTTTAATATTTTTGTTAAGTGTGTTTAGGTATAATAGAATTATTTTTAAAACTATAGGTTTTACACAAAAACCGACAATTTCATAAGAAAGAGGAGAAAAAATTACTATAAATGCAATCATTGACTTGTTCAATTAGCAAATAATAAAAGCAGCAGAATTTTTTTTCTTTATTTAAAATAGTTTTTTGGCTCTCCTGAAAAGTGACCATTTTGAATTGAACTCTTTCTCACTAGAGGCACAGAAATAGGCAATTATTTATACTCTGGGTTGTGTTTTGAGTCAATCAACAATCAAGTTCGATCTTTGAGCTAAAGATTTTATAAGAAATATTTAAAAAGACTTAAAACTTATGTCAATCATACTTACATACATGTGAATTAGTTTTTTTATTTCTTCAAATGTATGGATGTGTATCTTTTGCTTAATTTTGACAATAAGTTCTTTTTGACACAATTTAATTTTTTAATGACATATATTTAAAATTCCAGACAAATTATTATATTGAAGACTAGGCAGCATGGTCTCCGACCTTAGCCTGTTCCACAACGGAACAAACGTAATAAAAAAAAATATTTAAATATGTAAACATAACCTCACATTCCAGACAATTTATCTTTTTGAAGACTAGGCAGCATGGTCTCCGACCTTAGCCTGTTCCAAACGGAACAAACGTACTAAAAAAAAAAAACATAACCTCACAACTTTTATTTATTTACATTGTTCAATATTTGTTTATTGTTTACTTTTTTCCTTACTATTTAAATAATCAATGAATTATAGAAATGTCAATTGATACGTACTTCTGCTTTTGTTGTTTATCCACAGACGAGTTGAGTAATTTATTTGGTCTTGAAAACAAAGTGAATTATGTAGAAGTTCTAAAAGAAATATTCTTGATTACTGTAAGTTCATTTAAATGGTTATTAAAAATAATATTAAGACATAAGCTTTAAATTAATTATATAAGATCGCAATTAATTTTCATCATCACCTTCCTACCCGTATTCCAAATATTATTTGAGGTCTGCGTAGTGTTTTTCTCATCCATTCTTCTTTATTCGCTAATTATTATTATAGAATTCGTATCAAAATCATACGGTAATATTAATGAATAATGTTACTTTTCGTTGGAATCCTATTTAGTGACTAAGATATATATAAGAAATAATTTCAGATTTTGCTCTATAAAAAACATTTAATTCAATCTTAGAAAATGAAATAAACATGGCTGTAAATACTTAAATGAATATTTATTACATTTGTAAGTAGTACATTTGAAAGATAAAGCAGTTATATAAGTAAAATCAGTTCAAAATTGATGATGATAATGGAACAGCCTAAATCTTTTTTTAAACTAGTCTAAAATTTGATTTTAGAATCTAATTTTTTTTTAATCTGAGTAAGATTATGTCTTTAGCTATCCACAGAGGATTATGAAGACAACTGCTACATATGTGGTGTGTGTGCCAACATATTGAGAGATGCACACAGCTTCAGGAATCAATTGTATGACACATTGAATGTTCTATCTACAAATGGATGTTAGTAATGTATTTTTTACTAGGTTTTTATCCATTACTCCATACATACATACATACATATCTGTCACGCCTGTCTCCCATTAGGGTAGGCAGAAACAATGGAACGCCAAATGCTTTGATTCAAACAAACCTCTTTCGCTTCTTCCACATTCATCAATCTTTTCATACACGCTCGCCGGTTACGGGTACTTTTAATTCGGCTCTTCTTCAGCACATCGCCTGTTTGGTCAACATACGTCCGTCTAGGGCGGCCCCTACCAACATCTCCATTCATTCTTGCTCCATAAATCTCTTTCTACTATAATAATAATAATATACTTTATTACTCAGACTACAATTTGGTCCATTTTGTTAGTAACAGTTTTCTTACAAACTATGTTAGTAAAAAGGAAAAGCAAATTAATTAAAGCAGTTCACTCAGACGTGAGCCAGCCGACTAGAACAGCACCTGAATGAAATGCCCAATTATAGGCGAGTTATATTTATCGCCTATTACTTTTAGAATGCTGTCGGTGCTTGTCCTAACCCTGTGTAGCAATGATGCAGTCCTCTTTCTCCTTACAGCGTAGTAGTTATCTACGCGAGATTGAGCAAATATACCTTCTTTGAGTTCTGTAAGTACAGTAGACGTTTTAGAGACACAAAGCCATAAAGTTATATCTGTTACGTTGGTGGCACGACGCCTGTACCAGTTACGAAGAGGGTACATTCACATGTGATTTTTGTGCAATAGCAAATTATGTTTACGTGCGTACACTTAACCGAAGGCGTGCGGATACTTTCCCGCCGATGCGGGTGAAAACCCGCGTTTCCCTTGTTCGTTAAATGATTAAATAAAACTAAAAAAATTATTGTTAGAATTGAAATTTTATATTTTGTTTTTCATCTCAAATGTTTATAACGTTAAAATAAAAGTTTTTTTTATTCTTTTCAATTATTAAAATTCTGGAAGCAATTAACTGAAAAATGCGTACGTTAACCTACATTACTCTATTATTTTATCTCTTTTTACTGTGTATGTCTGTCTATGTCTATTGTTATTTTTGTAATGTAAGTAAAAAAATAAATTATCTATCTATCTATTTATCTATCTATCTATCTATCTACAAAGAAATCGTATTTTATAGTAATTGATATACACAAGTTTGATGGCAGTATCTTGGTCAAGAAAATCAATGATGACGTGTCCGATTTTGATAAAAAATCCGGAGGTAATGATGTTGACGAATTGTACGGGAGCTGTAGTGATGGTGACGTTAAGGGTGAGTTGTTAACACATTTGCTTTTCCAACCAACTTATTGCTCGGGTACCTCTGTCCCATTCGTGTTTCCACCGTAAATCTGTTGTGTTTGCATGGCTGTGTTTCGGTTTGAAGGGTGGGATATGGCGTGAATTTACTGGGTACAGAGGAATAACATCTGAGTCCACAGAAATGGTAACGCATGGGGGGTATCATGGGCGGAACAGTATACTCTGTTATGTCCATGGTACTGCTCATGTGTATAGGCGACGGTTACCACTTTCCATCAGGTGGGTCGTCAGCTTGTTTGCCATTCTAAGTTTAAACAATTTGCTATTTATAACTTCTCTCTTTACCATTCACAGAATCACCAGAACCGATAAAGGAAGAGAATATGGATTCGAACAGTTTAATAAGCGAACAGTTCTCGAAAATCCACTCCCAGATAGAAAGAGACAAAGACACAATGCACATTGATAAAGGAAAAGGACAAGGGACAAAAGAAGTGTATTACGAAGTGACAGACGATTTCAAGTGTAAGATATGTTCAACGGCGTTACCGAACGCTTACGTCTTCCATTTGCATATGAATGAACATTTTCCGAACCACATATGCGAGTTATGCGGGAAAGGTAGGTGTTGGATTAAAAAAAAAGGGTGAAGAGCAAACCCGGTTCAATAGGATCTATGAAATGATGATATAAAGCAGGGGGAAGCACAAAAGATCCGCTTGGGTCAACGTGCAACGGCTTAGCTGACCCCATATGCGGAAAAAAAGAAGAAACCTGAGGGCCTACCATTAAATGTTTTCCAAAATTTCGGAGCCGAACGAAACACAAATTTGATGTTAAAATTACATAATACTTACCATTAAAAAATATTAAAATATTATTCCTTTGGACTTTTATGGTAGGATTTGTGACGAACGAAATGTTAAACTCCATTTACTTGGCCGTATTAGGTATGAAAGAAAACACGAAATTGAGTCCGAAACATCGGATTTTCATTTCATCGTAGGCCACCTGGTTCACGTAGTCCCCGCGTGTTTTTTTTTTGATAGGTGATAATGGAATGGCAACCCCGCCTACGCTATCGGTATACGCTGGCGGGGCACCAGTGAGAGATGATTGGTGAAGATCAAGGCAGGTCAGTTGGCCTATCGTGAAGAATTTGACAACGATGGTTTCCAGAGGGAACCGCGTGGAGGTCGACCTGATAGGGTATATTGCTAGCAATGGGGCTTCTAGAACCCATTACTAACAATCCCCTTCCACCCTTCCCCCGCGTGTAGGACTTTTATACGCGTCTCTCGTTCTATCTTCAAATTGTCCAATACTTTTGTTGATTTGCATAAGGTGTCACTGTATATTGCGCGGAGATCGCGGCTGATTGAATAATTCGACACTGGCGGAGATTTATTTGTGATCTGGTAGATTTTTTTTGCTGGGTGAAAATGGTATGGTAACCCCGCCCGCGCTAACGGGATACGCTGGCGGAGCACCAGTGAAGGGTGATAGATGAGAATGAAAACAGGCCAGTTAGCCCGTCATGATGAATTCATCAGGAATTAACCATGATAGTTTCCAGGGGGAACCGCGAGGAGGTCGACCTGGTTGGGTATATTGCTAGCAATGGGATTCTCAATCTCCATTACCAACAATCCCTTCCCAAAGCGAAGCACTAAACTGAGTTGTGACCATTTTGTATTGTTATGGCACACGCACAAAATAAAATTTTACTTAGCTTTATGTATTTTTTTTTTATCATTTATGTTATCTAGCTTTTTTGTATATGTATGTTGTAATTTGTGTGCTGTAAGTAAGTAATGCAAATAAATTACCTATCTTTCTATCTACATAGATATTTAAATATATAATATATTTATATATATAAAAAAATATAGTTTTCTGTATTTTTTGCAGGTTTCCTAACTGAGAAAAGGCTGAAACGACATATGCCCTCGCACAAGAAAGGGCCTTTTAAATGTGAGGAGTGCAATGCGGAGTTCACCAACATCAACTCACTGGGCTCGCACAGGTACACGTTAAAAACACACGCATACAGTCACGGCCGCTCATGATTAAGGGTTCCGAACTGGTTACGAAACTAGTTGAGCTATCTCGATCTAATTACATGTGAGTTAATTTGATAGTTATTCCATTAAAAAATTATAGAATCATCACCTTTTCCGTGGGTGTCGTAAGAGGCGACTGAAAGAGAGCGAGGGATGGACAGCAGCGTCTTAAAACATCTCCAAAATCTAACTGTGGTTGCCAATTCGCCTGTCAAGCGTGGCAACTATTGGCACAACTCTCCAAACGAGACGTATGTCCAGCAGTGGACAGCTAAAGCTGATATGATGATAATAAGTATATGAAACAGTGTCATCAGAGAGAAGTGTGGACTGAAAGACGATGTAGTGACAAACATCGAAAAAGGAATGTTGCGTTGGTTTGGTCATTTGAAGAGGACGGATGAAAGAAGAATTACGAAAGAGATTTATCGAGCAAGAATGAATGGAGATGTCGGTAGGGGCCGCCCTAGACGGACGTATGTCGACCAAATAGGCGACGTGCTGAGGAAGGGCCAAATTAAAAGTACCCGTAACCGGCGAGCGTGTGTGACAAGATTGATGAATGTGGAGGAAGCGAGAGAGGTTTGTTTGAATCGAAGCATTTGGCGTTCCATTGTTTCTGCCTACCGTAATGGGAGACAGGCGTGACAGATATGTATGCACCGCCCACTTATTTCTCTGTTCGCCCAATGGTCGACTGGTAGAGAACACCGTCCGGTGTTCAGTCCGCCATATGTGCATAGAATTCGACTGTGCAATAAAGTTGAGATGGACGTTTAGGCAGCGCAAGCACGGGCCGGGCCCGCTGTACCGCTGCCCGCAGTGCCCCGAGCGGTTCGCGACGCTGTCGCGGCGAGCGGCACACCGCGCCGCCGCGCACGCCGCGCCGCCGCCCGCCCGCCAGTGCCGCGCCTGCGGACGACGCTTCCTGCTGGCCGGTGAGCGGGGGGAAGGGATTCTTAGTAATGGGGAGGTTTTTTGTCTGAATGGGTGAAAATGGACTGATAACCCCGCCCGCGCTATCGGTATACACCGGCGGTGCACCAGTGAAGGATGACAGGTGAGGATGAAGTAGGTCAGTTGGCCCATCGTGACGAATTCAACGAGAATTGTTCACTATGGTTTCCAGGGGGAACCACGTGGAGGTCTTTTTTTTTATACAATATAGAATGGCAAACAAGCTGACGGCCCACCTGATGGAAACTGGTAACCGTCGCCTATAGACATGAGCAGTACCGTGGACATAACAGAGTATACTGTTTCGTCCATGATACCGCCCATGCGTTGCCATTCCTGAGGACTCAGGTGTTATTCCTCTGTACCCTGTAAATTCACGCCGTATCCCACCCTTCAAACCGAAACGCAGCCATGCAAACACAGCTGCTTCACAGTTGAAACACGAATGGGACAAAGGTACCCAAGCGATCGATTTTTGTACAAAGTCTCCCTCTGATAGAGTGTATTGCTAGCAATGGGTTTATTAGACCCCCATTACTAACAATCCCTTTCCCCCCTAATGGGGAGGTTAATCCCTATTACGAACAATCCCTTCCTGCCAACCGTGGTAATTACTGGCGTCACCTCTTCCCCCCTCGCTCTTTATGGAGGAGATGTATGTTCAGCTGTGGACAGTTAGCGGCGGATATGATGATGAGGAGTAACATCTTCGCCGCTGCACCGTGGAGGTCGTAAACAGCAATATATTACCGGCAGGCAACCTCAATGCCCACATGAGGAACAAACATCTGAAAGTGAAACGCTACTTCTGCACGGAGTGCGACGCGGGCTTCTTTTACAAGCAGGAGCTCACCGCGCACGTGGCCTCGCACACCGGCCTCAAGCTGTACCAGTGTACCGTCTGCCCCAAGAGGTATGGCTTGCACCAAACTTTTATTATATGTAAGTTCCAAATTGACCCGCCATAGGCGGGGGAAACGCCATAGGTGGGGAAAACAGATCACAACCTTAAAAAAAAAAACTTAAATAACAGTTACATTTGTGATTCGGCTAGGTTACAATCCGATCACATTACGTGCACAGCTCGAGTGATTCATGTAAAGCAAACGCATAAAATAAAGAAAGTACATAAAATGTTATATAAATGTTATATTTTACTAGAGGGAGACTTTGTACAAAAGTCGATTGCTTGGGTACCTCTGTCCCATTCGTGTTTCTACCGTGAAGCAGTTGTGTTTGCATGGCTGTGTTTCGGTTTGAAGGGTGGGATATGGCGTGAATTTACTGGGTACGGAGGAATAGCACCTGAGTCCTCAGGAATGGCATCGCATGGGGGGTATCATGAGCGAAACAGTATACTCTGTTATGTCCACGGTACTGCTCATGTCTATAGGCGACGGTTACCACTTTCCATCAGGTGGGCCGTCAGCTTGTTTGCCATTTTATGTTGTATAAAAAAAAAAATAGAAAACAAGTTCTTCCTAAATATCAAATATTTTGTAGCGAATATGTCGATGGATTTGTGGTCGAGCAGTAAGTCGTTATAATGACGACACATCCTTACCACAGGATTGTAATAAGAAGTGTTATTTTTGTAGACTTGCAATGTAAACAATTTATGGGTAGGATTACGTGCTTTGTACCTGTGTATTGAAATTTAAATTAAGCAGTAGAAATGGAGAATCTATGACGTTATGAACGATTTTGTACAGATTTAGTATGGAACTACGCTGACGACGCCTCACTAAAGATGTAATATGAAAAAGTTCAGGCTTGTTTTCATAAGAGCTCAATTTTGTAATGTTACTAATGAGGTTTAACAGGCCCATTGTTAGCAATACTGGGTGTATCAGGTCGACCTCCAAGCTCTTCTCCCTGGAAACCATAGTGGTTAATTCTAGTTCAATTGGTCACTACGGGCCAACTGACCCGTCTTCATCCTCACCTGTCACCCTTCGCTGGTGCCCCGCGAGTGTATACCGATAGCGGATGCGGGGTTATCATTCCACCGTCACCTATAAAAAAAAACCTGCCATAGATACGTTAGTGTACATCATGCCCACCAATTTTATTCTTTAGACCTTTTTTATATGCAAATTAGAATGATAAACAAGCTGACGGCCCACCTGATGGAAAGTGGTAACCGTCGCCTATAGACGTGAGCAGTACCGTGGACATAACAGAGTATACTGTTTCGCCCATGATACCCCCCATGCGGTGCCATTCCTGAGGACTCAGGTGTTATTCCTCTGTACCCTGTAAATTCACGCCATATACCACCCTTCAAACCGAAACACAGCCATGCAAACACAACCGCTTCACGGTAGAAACACGAATGGGATAATTCCCATAAGCAGGAGACCTATGTCCAGCAGTGGACAGTTAAACAGATATGTTGATGATAATGAAAAATATGAACTCAATGTTCATTGCCCGTTATTTCCAGATATCCTCGTAAGAAAGCGCTGAAAGTTCATATGCGGATACATACCGGCGAGAGGCTGTTCTCGTGTGACGCTTGCGGCAAGAGCTTCACACAAAAATGCACCTTAATGTCACACGTGAAGACTCACAATAGAAAGGAAGCCAAGCAGAAAAACAAAAACGCGCCAAAATAGAACTGTTTAGTAATCCACTCTATAACATGGTCGATTCGTTCCGCTTTCTAGGAGTATTCTCGTATAACGCGTTTGTACGAGCCCGTATAACGTGTTTGTACGAGCCCGTATAACGCACTTGTAAGAGCCCGTATAACGCGCTTGTACGACCTCGTATAATGCACTTGTACGACACAACATAGGAAATCCTAGTGTACAGTCTAGGTGATTTTTTTTGTCAAGATCTACTTATCTTTTTTATATTGTTTATTTTTTTTTTATTTTTGTGAGAGTACCTTAAAATAAGAAAGAAAGAAATTAAGAAAAATATTTTATTCAGTGCAGTGTAAAAAATACAATATAAACAACAAACGAGAAAAAAAAATGAGCAAATAAAATGTACATATAATTAAACTTAATTTACCATAATTAAAAATAAACATAAAATAATCATTTTTACATCCAAAAATGCACTGAAATGGCTCCACTCAGCTTTAATGTATGTCCTAGGTGAACATACAGCTGGTTTTCAGTGGCACCAAAAATATATATATAAAAGGGGGGGAGAGAGAGGGCACTATTTATAATATTCATGATAATAATTAAAACAAAATTACAACTAATAAACACAAACCAATTACATATACTAGAAAGAACAAAATAGAATAAAATAACATTAATAAATATAAACATTAAACATATATATACAACTACTTTGCCGTAAGATTTATAGGTTAAATAGTACATAGATAATTCTTGTATAGTTTTTTAAAGGAATCTTGTAACATATAAATAAATATTGTTAAGAAATCTGTCTTTTTTTCTACGCCATGTTGTTTTATTTGTCCAGCTCCTTGGTAGGGACCCCACATATAATATATTTTAATATATATTTAATACACAATCGTAGTGATAGCCAGAGGATAGCCATTGTCGTATACTACTTTTGTTTGCAGATTTTGTCACAGTGAGGAAGAAACGCCGCAGCACTAAATGTATTTCTGTAACCCACACATACATAAACGATATATTTCCTTTGGAAAATACACTCTGTAAGCTGAGGGAAGACTAGACCAGAGGGAGACTACAAAATTAATTTGCTTGGTCACCTTTGTCCCATTCGTGTTTCAACCGTGAAACAGTTGTTTGCATGGCTGTATTTCAGTTTGAAGGATGGGATACAACAGTGAATTTACAGGGTACAGAGGAATGACACCTGAGTCCTCAGGAATGGCAACGCATGGGAGGTATTATGGGTAAAACTGTATTTTTTTATTGCAAAACAAGCTGACGGCCCACCTGATGGAAAGCGGTAATCGTTGCCTATAGACATGTTAAATCTTTTATCCAATGCAGTGTCACTTTTATCCAATTTGTTTATTCCTATGTTATTGTTTTCTATTCTTTAAATTGTGTATATGAACGTATGTATTTAATAATGCAATATACCTTTATTAATCAATTTATAAATTTTCCGGGTTTGAATACCGGTCGGGCCAATTTAGAAAAAGATTTTTCCTGATTAGTTTTTTTTTGATGGGTGAAAATGGTATGGTAACTCCGCCTGCGCTAACGTGATACGCTGGCGAAGCACCAGTGATGGGTGATAGATGAGAATGGGAACAGGCCAGTTAGCCCATCATGATGAATTCATCAGGAATTAACCATGATAGTTTCCAGGGAGAACCGCGAGGAGGGCGACCTGGTTGGGTATATTGCTAGCAATGGGATTCTCAGTTTCCATTACTAACAATCCCTTTCCCCCCTTCCTGATCGGTTCAAGTCTGGGTGTTAAATAATTAAAAAGTACACAGTTTTGATATTTCATATATAATTATATTTGATCTTGTATATTTATTCAAATTTCAGATTGTCACACCCTGAATTACAAGCACCTATTGCGTAAATATGATTTTCCGACATATCAGCACCACATTAAGTTTGTATAAGGCACATTTATTGTTTCTGAACATTCTGAGGATTAATAAACAAAAAAACAATTAAATTTTTTTTTTTATACCACTGATGTGGAAAAGGTATCAATACAAAAATATCATTCGATTCATTTGGTCAATAAATTGATATTGAAAATTGATAATTAATAATACACAAGTAAATGAGAAATAATTTCGCGCCATTTAAACACAGAGCAAGCAATCTCAGTATGTATATATCATCTATGCAAGCAATTATGTTATATAAGAGACGGCACTGTACTTATATTCAAGAAACTGGAAAAGAAATCTGCAACCACGTAAAGGTATTAACACAATAAATTTATAAAGTATTTATATTATGTATCTGTCAAAAATATCTATATCACGTAGGCATCACAAAATACCTAGCCACATTATAATATACTATACAATTTTCAAATTTATTGAACTGGTTGCATAGATTTTATGTAAACATATTTTCATTCAAAGTGGTGCGTGCCTGACAGCGTATGCATTTTTATTTTATTTATCACGAAAAGGAAAGGCAAAGGGAGTGTGCCCAAACAGCTCGTGAATTACTCGTGAACTTACGCGACGTGAATTTTTTTATCATGTCTGATTAAATTTTTTTTTCATTGATTTTTTTAAATTATCGTCACTTGCTCCGTGCTTTAGAGGTCGCGTAAAGCTATCGTGTGATAAGCCCCATCAGAGACTTTCGCGCGCAACGAAAGCGGCTTAAATCCTTGACATCAACCAAAGGGCGCCACCCTCACTGTAGCACTTTGACATTTTCGAAATTCCTTTTACGAAATCATCTTAAACGTATGCGGAAGACTATGATGAAACCATAAACAATTCAAACTTAACATATCTAAACTTGGATGTGTAAAATTACACAAAAAATGCGTTCAATAGAAACAAAAAGAAAAAAAAAATCATTCGATCGCAACCCTGAAATGTCAATTTGTAATACAATTGTTACAATTACAATAATAAATAAGTATTCATGCCTTTAAATTTATTATAAAGGTTATTTCAAATTAATAGCAAGCTAGCCTAAGGGGCCCGTTCACATAGACCGGGTCTGAGCAAATTTTTACTGCATTGAAAACAGTGTCAGTCGTTTTCAAGTTTAAAAAATAATAATTAAAAAGGTATAGAGAGAGAACACCTTCAGTGGTGTTACTGGGAATACACTCGACATGGACGACAGACAGATGTGGGTTCGAATCTCAACAAATTGAATTATATATTTGTTTATAGAATTTCCAAATGCCGGAGATACGAATTTAAAATATTTACAAGCTACAGTTTTCTCATATTAAACACTTTAATATTAAAATAGATTTTCACTAAAATACTATCATCATAAAAGAAAGAAAAAGATAGAATTTCTCTCTCTCTGCGCTCAGACCCGCTCTGTGTGAATGGGCACTAAAATAATTACAATAAAAAAAAATATTTTTGTGTTCTTGCATTTTACATAAACGTTTTTGGTTCCGTGTGTACATTTTATTTTTATTAAAAATTTAAGGCACGCTCAGTAAACTTCATCTAGTTTGGACAGTTCCAACTAAACTGTTGCATTGTTTTCGTAAGTTAATAGTTAATAATTTACATTTCCGTGGACGACACAGTATACACTGTGACGCCCGCGGCATTCGTCACGCCAAGTTACTCAAATACACAATACGAACTGATAATTGGCATGAAATAAACTATGAAACCGGATGGATGGAGAAGCAAGAGATTTATATTGGGATAGAGACCCGTATCTATCCAATTCTCCCTGTCCACCCCACAAGGAACTCGGCGTGATGATAGATACAACTTAAAAACAATATAACAGTGTAACAACTAGTTTTAAAACTCGCAACAAATGCATTAAATACTAAACAATTTAATAAAAAAATACTACATTTCAATAATTAAGCCATAACCACGATCATTTTGAGGTGTTTATTTCATGTAACATGGAAATAGTAAACAAGCTGACGGCCCGCCTGATGGAAAACGGTAATCGTCGCATGAACAGTACCATGGACACAACAGTATACTGTGTCACCACCCTTGGCACTCTTCATGCAATGCTATTCCTTAGGACTACGGTGTTACACCTCCGCACCCTGTAACATCACTGGTATATCCCATCGAAACGGCCATGCGAGCTCAGCTTATAATTCCTTATTTTTACCTAAAATAATCGCAATTAACAACTTTTAGAGATGGCAACACCAAATTTAAAAAATTTGATTACAACACTACGTTGCTAGAGATGGATTAATATGAATGATTCATTCGAATGAGATTCGAACAGCGTATTTGAATTTATCGATTTAAAGGATAGAATAACTATTCTAATAATTCGAATGAAAATATACATTCAAATTTACTTCGATATTCGAATGTTCTTTTTTAGATTCGATGCGCTATCTTTGTTATGTCTTTCAATTCGAACACCAAAAATAAATTCGAATAATAATTAATTAGGTAATTATTCGAATAATTCAATTATACATCCCCATCTCTAGTATATACCTATTTATGCTTCTATTTTTTAAATTGTTATTAAAATTTCTTATTTTTTTATATTTATATGTATATAGCAACACTATTATAATTAAAAAAAAAATGGAGCTAATAAAATCTTAGCACCTCTGCTCGCTTTTTTAAACAGCAATTAAAAATGTGGTGTTGCCATAAAAAATACATCTTTCTGTTCATGTTACGCACACTTAAGTAACTATGTTGTCATAATTCTATATAAAAAAAAACTGCTATTCTATAGAAACTACCGCATGCATAGATTTTTAACTGTCATCGTGGAAGAAATCTGGCAATACTGCGTCAGAATTCTACCATACTTTGTTACCATAGTAGAATGCTACTAGTTTAGTAGTTTCTCTTCTTCCGGGTTGGCGGGGCCCTTTTCTAATGTCTTGAATGTTGCATTCGTGTGCGGACTGGCCGAGGTAGGTACGAACTGAGAAGAAAAAAAAGTAAATTTAATTAATCCTTTTTAATCCTGCTGCTCCTGATTATCTAAAAGACCGATTCTTGTTTCTCAGTGAGGCTAATGATCATACTTTACGCAGTGTCAATAACCTCCGACTTAAATTTCCCACTCATTCTTCTTCCTTTTATTCTAGATCCTTTACTGTTCAGGCAGTTCGTCTATGGAACTCACTACCTACCTCTATTCGGTGCGCTCAAACTCTTACTAGCTTCAAAACCTCTGTTAAATCTTACTACCTCTCACTTTAGTACTATTTTCCTGTGTTCTCTCTTCGTTTTCCTTCATCATTTTTTTCTGTTGTATGTATGCTGTTAAGTATGTGTATGTTATGTATATATTTAATTGTGTATATATTATATATGTATGTGTATGTATGTATGTATGTTATGTATATATTTAATTGTGTATATATTATATATGTATGTGTATATATGTATGTATGTATTTATATATGTTTGTATATGATAATATTTATATAATAGTGCGCCACCTACTCTTTGTCTTTTTCTCAATGTCCTCTACCCAAAGGTTGTCTGGAAGAGATTGCTTAGCGATAAGGCCGCCTTTTGTATCACTTCTCATTAATATTTACTGTATTTGTTATTTCTCTTTTTACTTGGTGCAATAAAGTGTAAATAAATAAATAAATAAATAAATAAATTAAAAACTTAGTTATTAAAAAAAATAAATGTCATAGTGTAATGTAGAGACTTTGACGTAACTGACAGTTCTGAAGGCAACATAGACTATTTACGATAATATGGCACACCGTTTCAAATTCTAAAGGCTTAAAAATATTTACAAGGTTTCGTTTAGAATGGCAAACAAGCTGACGGCCCACCTGATGGAAAGTGGTAACCGTCGCCTATAGACATGAGCAGTACCATGGACATAACAGAGTATACTGTTTCGCCCATGATACCCCCCATGCGTTGCCATTCCTGAGGACTCAGGTGTTATTGCTCCGTACCCAGTAAATTCACGCCATATCCCACCCTTCAAACCGAAACACAGCCATGCAAATACAACTGCTTCACGGTAGAAACACGAATGGGACAGAGGTGGCCAAGCAAACGACTTGTACAAAGTCTCCCTCTGGTATAGGCTATGTTAATATAGAAATTGTAAAAAAATTATTAGAAAAAAAAAATATAATAATAAAATAATATAAAGTCACAGTGTAAGGAATGATCAGTGATCCAACGCGTTTGTAGTGTCCCGAACTACTACATGACAATTAGTTTTTTTTTTCTTTTCACACTATTTGTTGCCATCCTAAGAACAAGGAATTACATAGAAGGAATGATAAAATAAAAACTGTAAATCATATGGTTGCCTCCTTTCTTCTTATGCAAATGTAATTAGTAAAAAGAGGACGAAAGACACACCATCAGTTGCTATTTTTCTTAATTCATAGCAAGTTTTTTTTTATACTACTAAGATGGCAGACAAGCATACGGCCCACCTGACGGTAAGCGGTTACCGTAGCCTATGAACGCCTGCAATACCAGAGGTATTACGCGTGCGTTGCCGACACTGAAGAAACCTCTTTACCCCCTTTTTTTTTAATTTTATCTGTAATTTTTTTCAGTATCACGCAAAAATGACTGCACTAAATTGGATGCAGTATCATCTTGACACGCCATCTAGTGGTGGTGAACTACATTAGTTTTCCTACTTCTGTAATCCACGTGAACGAAGCAGCGGGCAAACAGCTATTTTAAAAAAATACAAACCTAATACTGAGTTTTAGTAACTTCCAAATTCTAGCGGCATGTAAAGAAAATTATGTACATATAAAAAATATTACCAATTTTGGAAGTAAGGGTTTTTTAGTGATAGGGTCCAACTGTTCCATTACTGAGGGGATAATGGGTTGTTAAAAATGGGGATAAGTAGGCCCATTGTTAGCAATGCACCCTGTCGGGTCGACCTCCTCGCGGTTACCCCTGGAAACTATCGTCTTCTTTTCCAAGTGAATCCATCACGATGTGCTAACTGACCTGCCTTTTCATTCTCACCTATCACCCTTCACTGGTGCCCCGCCGGTGTATACTAATAGCGCGGGTGGGGTTACCATTCCATTATCATCCATTAAAAAAAACTGTACCATTGCTAGCAATATACCCTGTCAAGTAGACCACGTCGTTAATTAATGTATCTGACACGATGGACCATAGTGATCAGCTTTCATTCTTAGATTACAACCTTTACTGGGGGGAGGGGATTCTTAGTAATGCGGACTACCCATTAGCCCCCATTGCTAGCAGCATACCCTGTCAGGTCGACCTCTACGTCGTCCCTCTTAGAAGCCATCATGCTAAATTCCAGGTGTATTCATCACGATGGGCTAACTGACCTGCCTTTTCATCCTCACCTATCATCCCTCACTGGTGCCCCACCAGTTTATACCGATAGCGCAGGCGGGGTTACCATTCCATTATTACCGATCAATAAAAAATAATTCCTTCCAGCATTTGAACGGCTTAACCAATCAATATGAAATTTGGTGAAATGTACAATTATAGGTTGGAGAAGGACATAAGTGTTTTAGCTCAGTCAGTAAACACTAAACATATACTGATGAAATCACGTGTTAAAGAAAGTACAGAAACAATGTGCTGTAGGGGCATGCGTACCTGTCTCGGCGGCTTCTCAGGTTCCCTGATCTCTTCTAAATTGTCTCCTTCGCTCAGCAGCTGGAATTAATACAAATAATACACTTATTCCGCTATTGTTTCCAGAAATATTTGGATTTTGAAAAATTCTTTGAAAAATTTCACCTGAGGCATTGATGGACGAACGTGCAAATGTGGGCCGAGGCATAGCCGAGGCATAACATACGTGAGTCCATCAATGCCTAGTTGTGGTCAAGGCTTGTATAGTACTTTTCTCAAACAGTGCACGGAAATCAAAAACACAATTTTACTTTTTAAGTTCAATGACGAACAACAAACAATAATTTTTCACGCGCCATAATGTTCCATTTTTTTTCAATAAACAACTTTCTATTTGCAAGCCAGTTCGCAATTTTAATAAAACCTTTTATTAGTTACCTCCTTGGCAGCCATGTTTCGAAGTAAAAGGTCATTCCATTTTTAAATTACAGGACAGATATGAGTTTACATAGTAATTTATCTGGCCGCAAAACACGACAGATATGGATTTTCATACAACTTTTGCCGGCCGCTGCCCGCATGTATCTGGCCAGTACGGCAATTTTGATTTATCTCGAAGAAGATTGTTCAAATAATGCTCACATTTCCAAGCATGTTTGAGAAAAAAGCAATACCTTGTCAACTTCTGGTTCAATTTGTTCATTGGTACCGCCTTTGTTAAGTGCGCCTTTCTCCATCAGTGTTGCCCGTTTGGCGGCCAAATACATGGATCTGAAACGATATGGGAATAAAATATTAAAATATTAAAAAAATAATAACATAATAATACTTTCTATTTATTTATTTATTTTACTGACCACATTATAAAAGTATGTTTGGTACAAAGATGGATTTAATAGTTAAGAAGTCGTCTGCTTGGGTACCACTGTCCCATTCGTGTTTCTACCGTGAAGCAGTTGTGTTTGCATGACCGTGTTTCGGTTTGAATGGAATTGGAATAACACCTGAGTCCTCAGGAATGGCAACGCATGGGGGTATCATGCACGAAACAGTATACTCTGTTATGTCCACGGTACTGCTCATGTCTATAGGCGACGGTTACCACTTTTCATCAGGTGGGCTGTCAGCTTGTTTGCTAAGTTGTATCAGGTTGACCCTCCATGCGGCGACACTATCCTGGAAACCATCGTGGTTAATTCTAGTGGAATTCATCACGATGGGTTAACTGACCTGCTTTCATCCTCTCCTATCATCCCTCACTGGTGTTCCACCAATGTATACAGATAGCGCAGACAGGGTTACCGTTCCATTATCACCCATTAAAAAAAAGTCCCTGAATGCTACAATTCTATGAGAATAAGCTGCCAGTAGCGTCCGCGTACATCGGAGCGTGCCTTCCCCATAATTCAATTTCCCCATAATTTTACGTAGAAATAATCTGGGCATTTAAATTTTAAAAGAATAAACATACAAGGCAGAAAGACATACCGTTTTATAGCCAAGTAATACAATTCCGCGATCGCTTTAACTGAATAATCGGGGACGAACGTGTGGCGTAACATCGAGTCCATGTTCAGGTTCTGCAACGAGCCAAGTGTAGAGGGCGCTGGGGCTTCCGCTGTAAACACAATATGCGGTGATATTAGATTAACACACGCACACACACACACACACACAGAGAGAGACATATGCATGCATGCATATGCATGCATGCATTTAGATATACTTATTACAAGATAATGTTTATGTCTTAATTTTATGGTACTATGATTTGTATTTGCATGGTTATGGAGGAGCGTGACCTTCTGGTACAGTTTTTTTTTCATACAACTTAGAATGGCAAACAAGCTGACGGCCCACCTGATGGAAAGTGGTAACCGTCGCCTATAGACATGAGCAGTACCATGCACATAAAAGAGTATACTGTTTTGCCCATGACACCCCCCATGCGTTGCCATTCCTGAGGACTTAGGTGTTATTCCTCTGTACCCTGTAAATTCACGCCATATCCCACCATATATTGTGTGTGTGTGTATACACATTTGTGTATATATATATATATATATATACATATACACACATACATACACATAAACATACACACGCATACATACACACTTCTATAATAATTAAAAAGTTATAAATTGTGATGAGACACCTTTTAGCTTAATATATAATAACAAAACAAAAGCAATATAAAGCAAAGCAACATTAATAAAATAGTCAATTAGGTGCAGCAGTTATTGGCACTGTAAGATCTATTGTTGTTAATATATATATTTTTTTTTGATGGGTGAAAATGGTATGGTAACCCCGCCTGCGCTAACGGGATACACTGGCGGAGCACCAGTGAAGGGTGATAGATGAGAATGAAAACAGGCCAGTTAACCCATCATGATGAATTCATCAGGAATTCACCATGATAGTTTCCAGGGAGAACCGCGAGGAGGGTGACCTGGTTGGGTATATTGCTAGCAATGGGATTCTCAGTCTCCATTACTAACAATCCCTTTCCCCCCTACGTAATGTATATTGTATTTTTTTTTTCATTTAAGAGTTTCCTCTTGTCGGTGCAACTAATTCATGCATCTCCCTCCAGCCAGCTCTATCCCAGGCCATATCCTTGATCTCCCTATACGACATGACACCTAGTGTTTCCTTTATCTGTCCCATGTAGTTATTCCTCGGTCTTCCTCTTCCTCTTTTGCCCTCTATCTTTCCTTCTACTATGCTCTTAAAAAAATCGTCATGTCGTATAAGGTGGCCCAGCATTTTTATATTGTATTAATATTTTGTAAACTGTTTTGTTGCCATAAATAAATAAAAAAATAAATAAAAATTTATTTCTTTACCATCACGGTTACTTCTTGTCTATATGACACCTCTTTTTTTTTAAGTCGGTTGAACAAAAAAAAAACTATTTAAAATATTAGCTTAGAGAGAATAAACTAACAATGTACTCACCAAGTCCTACATTCTGCGTGAGAGCCTGAACACCGAAGTACGTGAAGGGTCCCGCTTCGAACACGAGGTTCTCGAGGCCCACCGTCACCTCCACGCGGCCCTCCAGGATCAGCACGAAGTAGTCCACCTGCACGCAATATCACCATCGTAACTTCATCATCATCATCAATACAGCCGTAACTGATCATTGGTGAACACAGACATCTCCCATAAAGAAGATTTTTTTAAACAACTTAGAATGGCAAACAAGCTGACGGCCCACCTGATGGAAAGTGGTAACCGTCGCTTATAGACATGAGCAGTACCGTGGACATAACAGAGTATACTGTTTCGCCCATAATACCCCCCCATGCGTTGCCATTCCTGAGAACTCAGGTGTTATTCCTCTGTACCCAGTAAATTCACGCCATATCCCACCCTTCAAACCGAAACACAGCCATGCAAACACAACTGCTTCACGGTAGAAACACGAATGAGACAAAAGTGAATAAGCAAACGACTTTTGTACAAAGTCTCCCTCTGGTAACGTAGTTATACAGTGCGAGAAAATGAAGTAACAATTATAATGAATTAAATAACACTAGACTACAAATATTTTAAAAGTTGAATATATATGTATATTTTTTGGTCATGATTTGGAAGTCGGTTGAGAATAAATAAAAGATAGATATATGATTTATTAGTATCACTTACAGTACACAAATAACATTAAAAGAATACATATACAAAAAAAAAAAAAACAAAAGGAAAGTACATAAAAGAGGTAACATAAGTTTCTGCAAGGGTGCCACAGTAACACAAAATGGTCACAATTCAGTTTATTGCTTTGCCCTCAAAAGAGCAAAACACTGATATTCCATTGTGGCCGAGAGCCAAATATGAGTTTTAGAGATATGAGATAGCAAACATAAAGATAGCACCAAATTGAGAACAACCTTTACTTGAAGTTGGTTGAAAACCACCGGCCTTATTGCTAGCAATACTCCTAAATGGACAGATAGATAGATTGATAATTTATTTGTATTACTTACAGCACATAAATAACAATACAATAGTACATTACTGCAGCGGCCAGCAATTGAGGTATTGATGGACGAACGTGCAAATGTGGTCCGAAGCGTAGCCGAGGCACACATATGTGAGTCCATCAATGCCTAGTTGTGGCCAAGGCTTGTATAGTACTTTTCTCAAACAATGCGCGGAAATCAAAAACACAATTTTACTTTTTAAGTTCAATGACGAATAACGAACAATAATAATTTTTCACGCGCCATAATGTTCCTTTGTTTTTTTTTTTTTTCAATATCTAAACAGCTTTCTATTTGCAAGCCAGTTCAAATTTAAATAAAACCTTTTATTAGTTACCTCCTTGGTAGCCATGTTTCGAAGTAAAAGGTTATTCCATTTTTAAATTACAGGACTGATATGTGTTTACATAGTAATTTATCTGGCCGCAAAACACGACAGATATGGATTTTCATTCAACTTTTGCCGGCCGCTGCCCGCATGTATCTGGCCAGTACGGCAATTTTGATTTATCTCGAAGAAGATTGTCAAGATAATGCTCACATTTCCAAGCATGTTTGAGAAAATATACTTACACAACTAATTCAGACATAGAACAAAAACAAAAAAAAAAAAAACAAATAGCAAAATATATAAAAGAACAATTTCCTTCTTTCATGCGTGTGCCATAGTAACACAAAATGATCACAACTTAGCTTATTGCTTTGCCCTCAAAAGAGCAAAATACTGATATTCTGTTGTGGGCAAAAGCCAGTCGCGAAATGGACAGGAATAGAGAATTTCGCCTGACGCGGCAACTCACCGACTTGCCCTCCTGGAAGACGAAGCGTTTCGGGTCATTCTTGTCCTCGTCACCTCGCAGCTTGATGTGCTGGATCACGTCCTGCTTCAGCAGTCGCCGGAGCACCGTCTCCGAGATCAGCTCCGAACGGAACGGTTCGACGCCTGGCGGTGGAACGTTTTGTTATGCAACTTAGAATGGCAAACAAGCTGACGATCCACCTGATGGAAAATGGTAACCGTCGCCTACAGAGTTTAACAGTACCGTGGACATTACAGCATATGCTGTTATGTGTATAGTGCTTCTAAAGATTTTTTAATGGGTGATAATGTAATGGTAACCCCGCCTGCACTATCGGTATACGCTGGCGGAGCACCAGTGGAAAATAAAGGGGTGAGGATGGAAGCTCACCAGTTGGCCCATCATGAAAAACTTCAACAAGAATTAACCACGGTGGTCTCCAGGAGAATTGCGTGGACGTCGATCTGATAGGGTACATTGCTAGCAAGCGCCCCTTAAAGTTATGCAACACATGAGGGAAAGGAGGGGAAAATAAGTACTCGGAACATTTATCTCCATCTTTAGAAATATACTCCATTAGTTTAACATCCATGTGGTCCCCCTGGTAACCGTCGTGGGTTATTCTTGATGCATTCATCAAGATGGGCTAACTGACCTGACTTCATCTTCACCTACCACCTCTCACTCTCAGTTACCAGTTCAGTAGAAGAAACAAACAGATTGTACAGGGTCTGCTGTAGCAAGGAGATAGAGATGCTCTCTCTCTTTCGCTAACTCAGTATAAGAGTGAGACAGACTCATTTCAGCAGAAAAAAGGGACAGTCTCACAGTGAATCTAGAGTCTACAGTAGCAAGGGAATATGGTAATACTAAGAGAAGGCGACCTCTTTTCCCAATCCAGTAAAGGAAAGGGATAGAATCACAATGAGCCTAGAGTCTGCATTGAAAGGGAATATATGATCGTGCTCTCTTTCTCCATCACAGTAGAAGAAAGGGACAGACTTATAGTGAGCTTAGAGTATGCTACAGCAGGGGAATATTATCGCGCTCTCTTCATCCAGCTCAGTAGAGGAAAGAGATAGACTCACGGGGACCCTAGAGCCAGCAATAGCAGGGGAAAATGATCGCCCTCTCTCACTCCAGTTCAGTAGATGAAAGAGATAGACTCACTATGGGCCTAGAGTCTGTAATAGCAGGGGAATGTGATCGCCCTCTCTTTTCCCACTTAGTAGAACAAAGGGAGTTTAGAGACTGCAGTAGCAAGGAAATATGGTGACACTGTCAGCACCCTAATGTTTGAAAGACGCAGACTTACTGGTGTTGAGGAACTGGAAGGTGGCCAATATGAGCTGCGGCGAGACGTGCACGCGCTGGTGGTGCTGGTGGCCGGCGAACGCAGCCAGGTCCTGGAACTTGTTCAGCGGCCGCGCCAGCCGTTTCTTGGTGCGGTTGTCGCCTGAAATGGGAGGAAACATGATGTTTCGGGTCACTTATCTATCTCATACTTCTTAAAACCTAAAAAATGAACGAAAATGGTATGGTAACCCCGCCTGCGCTAACGGGATACGCTGGCAGAGCACCAGAGAAGGGTGATAGATGAGAATGAGAACAGGCCAGTTAGCCCATCATTATGAATTCATCAGAAATTAACCATGATAGTTTCCAGGGAGAACCGCGAGGAAGTCGACCTAGTTGGGTATATTGCTAGCAATGGGATTCTGTCTCCATTACTAACAATCCCTTTCCCCCTATTCCAGGTGTATTCATCACGATGGGCTGACTCGTCTTTCATCCTCATTAATCATCTCTGACTAGTACCTCACCAGTGTATACAGTTAGTTCAGGCGGGGTTGCCATTTCATGGTATATTGCCAGCAATGGGACTGGTAGTCTGCATTACTAACATAATCCCCCTCCCCGCCCTCCCCCTATTTTTATTTTTTATTTTATTTATTCATAAACAAAATAAATTCAGGTCTGAGTGTTCTATGCCCCCAGATGTCAATCGCTCTGTTCTCACAACACAGAGCTCATAAACTAGGTCCTAGCTTGAGGAGCAGGCTGAGGGATTAGTATGACGGGGGGGGAGGACATTTATTATTATTAATTACTAGAAAGATAAATTGTACAAAATAGTCTGCCACTTTGGAGGTCCACCATAAATTTAAATTTGGAATTTTCGAACTCAATTTCGTGTCTTTGCTTATACTGAAATCGGCCCAGTAAATGAAGCTTAACATTTGTTTTATTATAAATCTTACCATGAAAGTCCAAAGGATCGATATTTAAGATTTAAGACATTTTTAAACAGCATGCACCTTGTAATTTTAACATTAAATTTATGTTTCGTCCGGATCCGAAATTTCGATAAATATTTCGTTATAGGTTCTCTGCTCTCTGCCCTACTTGTGTGCCCTGCTGTGAAGCAGCTGCATGGCTCTGTTTCAGTTTGAAGGGTGGGATATGGCAGTGAAATTACAGGGTATTAGATGAAGAACACCTGAGTCCTCAGGAATGGCAACGCATGGGGGGTATCATGAGCAAAACAGTATACTCTGTTATGTCTATGGTACTGCTCATGTCTATAGGCGACGGTTACCACTTCCCATCAGGCGGGTTGTCAGTTTGTTTGCCATTATATGTTTTGAAAACAACGCAACTCACTGATGACGTCCGACTCGTCGACGATCTCCGCCTGTATCATCTCCTCAATAACGTCCTCGAGGGTGACCAGGCCGACGGTCTCGTATATTGGGTCGCCGTCGCCCTCTTCGATGCGCTGCACGAACGCCATGTGCCCTTTATGGCCTGCGGAAAATTTAATAAATCATTAAAACACTCAATTTTCTTCACACGAATATTGTAATACATGATTTTTATGAGTGTCATAAGTTATAGGCCCAGAAACAGTGCATCTCTGGGCCCATAACTTGATAATTAGTCGGTAATAAATTATAAGGTGTGATTTTCAAGTGCGACATCTTTTAAAAGTAGATGTTCTTGATATATAGAAGATATATTATTTTATAAAATACTTTTTGACTTTAAAAAGTTCACCGACATTGGACAAATTTACGTGTGTCATAGATGACTCAAATAATGTGCATTTACGTATTTAAGATTCTAGTCCAGGAAGGGTTTAAAAACAAAGGTGTACTTTCAGAAATGCTTCAAACATGTCATGTGAGGACTAGACATTTCTGGGATGGGATGGGCATGACCCATCCGGACTAGAGGGGAAAAGGGATTATTAGTGATGTGTCTGCAGTCCTGTTGCTAGCAATAAATCTTGTCAGGTCTACCTCCATGGTTTCTCCTAAAAACCATGGTACGGAATTCTAGATGTATTCATCACGATAACTGACCTGCTTTTTGATCCTCACCTATCATCTTTCATTGGTAACCCCCGCCAGTATATACTGATAGTGCAGGCGGGGTTACCATTCCATTAGCAGCCATTAAAAGAAAACTCTTCTCCGCTGCTTTTTAAGTACACCTTTGATTCTGCCTCCCTCTTAAACACAACAGCACCAACCTTCCTTGAACTGCTTCAGCATGACGTCCAGGGTGACGTCCTCGAAGACGAAGTTGCACGGGTTCTGGTAGTACTGGCACAGCGTGCGGAGGGGCGTGTTGTCGTCGGGGTCCACGAACGCCAGGTCCTTGATGAACAGCATGGTGACGATGTTCCCGCGCGTACCCTCGTATACCGGGATGCGGGAGTAGCCTATGGACAATGGTAAAATGGATGATGTTTTAGACAATGCATACGGAGATCAGGACTTAAATCTCTCGAAGATAATCTGGGATCGAAGGGTTTAACAAAATCTTGTACAGTAAGGATTGGATTTGCATGTTGTGTCGGTATATTTTTTGGGAGCCAGGTGAGCTAATTTTAAGTTCTATTTGACTTTATTAGAAAAAACATACTATTCCTAGAACATAGAAATAATTGAATTTATTACGCATGTGGGGTATCAAGGGCGAAACAGTATACTCTGTTACAGTACAGTAACAGATTATACTGTAATGTAACCATAGTACTGCTCATGTCTATAAGCAACGGTTACCACTTTTGATCAGGTGGGCCGTCAGCTTGTTTGCCATTCTAAATTGTATCAAAATATACTAATCCGATATCTACAGATACTGATTTTGCAGTATCTATATAGATACTGATCCGATACCTATATATTGGGTTCCTCTGGACATTGATGGCGGGAAAAAGCTCATCACCCATTACGATATCGCCCATATCGGTCGGATATCTATTTGCGAATATGTTAAAAGTCTGTTATCCAATATTATTTTTTGGATAATAGACTTTTAACATATTCGTTATTGGACCAATATATAGATATTGTAACTAAAATACCCGTTGCTATATATTATACCCAGATTATTTATTCTTTTGCCCGTACCCTGTAACTTCACTGCCATATTCCACCCTTGCCGTGTGTGCCCCGGCATGGAATGGGCTACCCATTCCTTTCTCGTGGGTGTCGTAAGAGGCGACTAAAGGGAGGGCGAGAGATGGGCAGCAGCGTCCCTCTTAAAACATCTCTAAAACCTAACTGCGGATGCCAGTCTGCACATATTTGTACTAATGAATAAATAAATAAATAAAAATACAACTGAGTAGAGTACCTTCTTCTTTTTAAAGGCGTTTGATAATAAACCATTACGAGTATCACTCACCAGACTTGACTATTTCGGTCATGGTCTCGAAATCGAGTACGCTATTCATTGGCAGCATGAAGCAATCCTTCAGTTTGGTCATCACGTCCTTCACTGTCTTCTTGCGAAGGTCGAGCGCGCCAGAGATGATGTTCACCTCTTCCTTGTCCAGATCGTTCACATGGTTTGTGACCTGGGAATGGATAATTATGATTTAATAGCGCGTAAAAAGATAGAAACTTGGGAACAGGGAGTTTGTTTGTTTGTTACGTTTTGACGTCTAAACCGCTGCTTCGAGTATGATGAAATGTGGTATAGAGATAGATGGGACCTTGGAGACTGTTAAAGGCTATGTTTACTTCCAGTTAATGAACATATCTCGGTTACGTGGGCGAAGTCGCTGGTAAATACTAGTATATTAAGGAATAGCGATCCGCCTCGTCTTCGTTAATTTATTTTGTTCATTATAGGAAATTAAGTTTGTATTACTGGGAATCTTATCAGGTCGACTTCCACACGGTTCCATCTGGAAACCATCGTGGTTAATGTCTGATGAAATCGCCACGATGGACCAATTGGAACTAAACACTTCGCTTCACCAGCGTATATCGATAGGGAAGGCATGAGGGGCCTTCTATGAAATGTTATTCGAAAATTCGGGACCGAAAGAAGCGCAAATTTGATGTTAAAATCACATGACACATACCCATTAAAAATATCAAAATTGTTAAAATATTGATCCTTTTGGACTTTTACAGTAGGATTTATGGCGATCGAAATATTTTTAGCTCCATACCTGATATTGGTATGAAGGATTATAAGAAATCGAGTCCAAAAATTTGGAATTTCATTTTAAAGTAGATCTCCAGGTTACCATTTCATAATCACTTATAAAGTAAAACTGCTCTTGTTGCTAAAGCCAGTTACCTTGACGAGTTCCTTCAGCCGTTCCCTGTTGTAGTGAGTGCCGATCTCTTCACCCAGGAAATAGTCGAGCAGTTTGCTGGTCGGCCACGCGAGCGGGGCGCAGATACCCATCACAATCTGGGGGAATGGACAGAAAAATATTACTATGATAGCTGAACTGGTAAACGTTGCTTTGTTTCAGTCAACAATCTTACTAAAACAACTGAATTCTTAACTAGCTCTTTGCTTTTCAACCTTTTTTATGTCGCGACCTTCGAAAAAGCCAAAAAGTTATATAAAGTCTTGCGACCCTGTTGCTACATAATTACACTAATAAATAGATAGATAGATACTCTCTATTGTTTCCTCCATAAGATTACAATAGTAAACTTATTATAGATACAAACAATTACAAGAAATGATCGCAGTGAGACAACAATGGGCGGCCTTATCGCTAAGAGCGATCTCTTGCAGCCAACCTTTGGATACAGAGGAGTAATTATAAACAGTTTGATTGGAGGCATGATGAAAATTCTGTTTTTAAACGCATATGGAGATGTAATCCATGCAATATTGTAAATATACATCCCTATTCATCATTATATATATATATATATATATATATATATATATATATATATATACATAATATCATAAGTACCTCAGTACCATTCGTGTTTTTACCGTGAAGCAGTTGTGTTTGCATGGCTTTGTTTCGGTTTGAAGGGTGGGATATGGCAGTGAATTTACAGGGTACAGAGGAATAACATCCGAGTCTTCAAGAATGGCAACGCATGGGGGTATCACGGAGGAAACAATATACTCTGTTATATCCATGGTACTGTTCATGTCTATAGGCGCTGGTTACCACTTTCTATCAGGTGGGCCGTTAGTATGTTTGGCATTCTAAGTTGCATAAACAAAAACATAATGAAATGAAACAAAATATTTAGTCTTACCTTCATTATCCAAATACTCTTTGCGCCAATCAACAACCCGTGCCTTGCACAAATTGCCTGAGGCGTAATTTCAGCTATGAACACGATAGCCAGCGTAGATCCGATGACAGCCACCAGCCCTGATGTCAGATCGTCCAGAATCACTGTGAATGTGCTGTTAACAGCTACGTTACTGAGCAAAATCGTGCACAGCAGATAGTTCCCGTGCGCTCGTACCGGCATAATGGCACGGGCATACTTTCTCTCCTTCTCCGTTCCTGTATTGGCTATAATCCTCAATTCTGTGCGATCTAGTGCCATTAGACCAAGATTCAGCCCGGAGAAGAGGGATGCCAGCATCAGTAAGATGACAATCAGGATCAGTGACGCCCACAAAGGTAGGAGTTTGTTGTGGGTGCCCAAAATCTTCCATTTCTCGTGGCCTTGGTGAATGAAGTCTTCTTCGCTGTCAGAGCTCTTCGCGCAGATGTAAAACTTATAATCCTCTAGAGGCGGCGGTGCGACCAATTCTAATAACGCTGAGTCGCTTTCCACGTATTTTATCTGGGAACAGCATTGAGGTCCATTCTGAGGCTACATTCGTCTAAACCATACATAATTCTTAACCCAATACAGTAGAATCTCGATTATCCGAATATTCGATTATCCGGACTTATTCGTCACATCTCTAATTATCGATTTAGAAATGGTATTATGTTTTAATTGATTAAACAGGTATTATGTAATAAAAATTACGAGCTATTAAGATAATGGAACTTTAATAGCTCGTAATTTTTTTATATATCGTATTGTCTAAATGACGTATGTAAAACCATTTAGATAATAAACAAAAAATAAAATTTTATTATCGTATGATTTGACTTTTAAATCGATTATCCGGATTTTCGATTATACGGAATACACCGGGTTTTAATTGTTTCGGATACCGGATTTTCGATTATATGGCTAATCGAGATTCTACTGTATTTTAATATGATATTTTCGTGTCACGTCGGCTATTTGGTACACATACGCCCGTCTATAGCGACCCCTACCAACTTCACCATACATTCATTCATTCATTCGTGCTATATAAAACTCTTTCGTAATTCTTCTTTCATCAATCCTCTCTAAACAAACAAGTATACGGTATACCTGGTGGTAAACAGTTACCGAAGCTTACGTACAGCTCCATTGCTATCAATATACCCACCAGGTCGACTTTCACGAAGGTTTCCCTGGAAACCATCGTGGTTTATCATTATCTATTTTTCAAGTTCTCACATTTGTTACCCATATTAAGAGGGTTGACAAAATACACACCATCCGCCATCTTGTCGTGGCGGCCATTTTAAAAATACTACAATATTGCGTATTGCATTCAATACTGTCATTAGAACTAAAATTGGTTAGAACTATATGAACTCTCAGACATGTCTTCTCAGACAGTTCTGGAATGCCCTGGCCACCTTTAAGCACGCTCTTAGTAAGGAGGAAGGAATTGTTAGTAATGCTGATTGTCAGTCTCATTGCTAGCAATATACTCTATCAGGTCGACATTCATGTGGTTCCCCCCGGAAACCATCGCTGAATTCCAGGTGTATTCATCACGATGGGCTAACTGACCTGCCTTTTCATTCTCACCTATCATCTCTCACTGGTGTTTGCCAGCGTATACCGTTAGCGCAGGCGGGTTTGAATTCCATTATTATTGATTAAAAAAAGCTACGTTCTTGGTACTTACCCGATATTCTCCATTTAACAGGTTGTGACATGTTTTCCCGTATTCCAGCGGTTTGTGGGTAAAGGCGAATACAGTTTCATTACTGAAACCTTCACCGAAAAGTCTCAGGGTGAACGTGGTTTCGGTCAGCACGCTGGGTATCATACCGTCGACGATCTTCGGTTCCTTGGCTGACTCCTCCACCCTCAAGCCCATAACCTGTTTATTATTATTATTTCATATTATATCTGTTAGGTTCAATATTAAATTACTTATTATATTATAGTTACTACAATTTAATAGTACATTACTACAGCGGCCACCAACTGAGGCATTGATGGACGAACGTGTAAATGTGGGCCGAGGCGTAGCCAAGGCGCACATACGTGAGTCCATCAATGCCTAGTTGTGGACAACGCTTGTATAGTACTTTTCTCAAACAATGCGCGGAAATCAAAAACACAATTTTACTTTTTAAGTTCAATGACGAATAACGAATAATAATAATTTTTCACGCGCCATAATGTTCACAGTTAATAAACAGCTTTCTATTTGTAAGCCAATTCGAAATTTAAATAAAACGTTTTATTAGTTACCTCCTTGGCAGCCATGTATCGAAGTAAAAGGTCATTCCATTTTTAAATTACAGGACAGATATGAGTTTACATAGTAATTTATCTGGCTGCAAAACACGACAGATATGGATTTTCATACAACTTTTGCCGGTCGCTGCCCGCATGTATCTGGCCAGTACGGCAATTTATCTCGAAGATTGTCAAAATAATGCTCACATTTCCAAGCATATTTGAGAAAATTTATATTACATACTTATCATCTTCATCATCACCATATCAACCGTTAACTGTTCACTGCTGAACATAGGAGCTCACCCAAAAAGGTTTTGCAGTTTTTTTAATGGGTTTTTTTTTTTATACAACTTAGAATGGCAAACAAGCTGACGGTCCACCTGATGGAAAGTGGTAACCATTGCCTATAGACATGAGCAAGTACCATGGACATAAGATAAAAGAAATTTTTTTCTTTAATATTTTTTTTAATTTTTTAATTATTTCTATAATTAAGTTTATGATATTATGTATATTTATTTTATTTCTGTACATATTGTTTATCTTCATAATTTGAATGGATAAAATCAATTTAATTAACCTGTTTAATGTATTATCTAATTTAAATTGATTGTATTTTTATTTATTTACAATTAGAACTCGATTCTTAATTACTATATATATTTACAAGGTTATTAAACAGCTGTCGAAAATTCACAGAACTATGTTAATATCACCCACATTATAAGATTGTGGTCAATAAAAAAAATCGACGTAAATTGTAGTAAAACATTTTTGATTTAAAAATCAAACTCCTGGGGGTCTACCATGAAATGAAACTCCGAATTTTCGGACTCAATTTCGTGTTTTTGTTCGTACCAAAATCGACCCTATAAATGGAGCTTAACATTTCATTCGTCATAAATCCTACCATAAAAGTAAAAAGGAACGATACTTTAGCATTTTTAATATTTTTAAACGGTATGTATCAAGTAATTTTAACATCAAATTTTTGTTTCGTTCGGATCCGAAATTTCGGAAAACATTTCATGGTAGGCGCTCTGAATTGGTTTTGATAAAATTTCTATGGGACCAATTTGGAAGTATATCCTTTTAATTAAAAAAAAAATATGATCCAAATCGATTTACAACTGAATGAGTTATTTATTTATTTATTTATTACATTACATCTACTGGGTGAGCTTTACAGTCTAATAAATAACATATATTAATTAATTAATTTATTTATTTATTTCTTATTGCATTCCATAATATAATTAGTAGATAACATTTCAATTATGGACCGTGTTGGGCGCAGCGAGTACGAGAGAGGAGGACGACACTTCTTTCACTTTAGAAATAGTCTAAGGATCCGTTACGATGTTATCCAGCCATTGATATTGTATCACGATAGCTACGTATTTCCTTATTATTATTATTATTCATTATTTAAGTGTTGCTGTGTATGTATTCGTGTCGTAGTTGTTATTAGTATTGTATAGTTATTTAATATATTGTGTAGTTTATAATTATTTGAGTCCTCGGAAATGGCAACGCATGGGGGGTATCATGGGCGAAACAGTATACTCTGTTATGTCCATGGTACTGCTCATGTGTATAGGCGACGGTTACCACTTTCCATCAGGTGGGCCGTCAGCTTGTTTGCTATTCTTAGTTGTAAAAAAAAAAAAAACAAATAAATAAATAAATTTAATTTCTAAATTTCTGCACACAAACACTTTGTGGTCATTCGACGAAACTCCAGCAAGTTGGAGGCAAATATATCCAATTGTGGATACTGGGCTCAAAATATCATTGAGTAGTTTTAATGCAAGAGATAGGGGAGCTTGCTTAGCCAATTTGCTTATGAGGTAACAAACATTAAAAAAAATACCACCGTTTTCAGAATCTCCTTATTTTTTTAAACTATTAAAAAATAATTTTAATTTACCTACACTACTAATCGTCTCAGGTTAGCTCTGGGGGTCTACCATGAAATGAAATTCCGAAATTTCGGACTCAATTACGTGTTTTGTTCATACCTAAATCGGGCCAGTAAATGGAGCTTAACATTTCGTGCGTCATAAATCCTACCATAAAAGTCCCAAGGAATAATATTTTCATATTTTTAATGTTTATAAACGGTAAGTATTATGTAATTTTAACATTAAATTTGTGTTTCGTTCGGCTCCGAAATTTCGGAAAACATTTCATGGTAGGCTCTCTGGTTTCAAAATTTTCAATGTCGTCTTCGTCACACAGAGAGCCTTTACGAGCCTTCCGAAGTGAGTTACAAACATTGTTAAAAGGCCCAAATATGAATTTGGCAATTTTAGAGATTTAGACCGGGATTCGAATTTGGGACTTACGGACTATAGTCATGTACTGCCCAAAGGAACTGTTACCAAATCTTATCAAGTCGATCACAACGTGACCCGTCCGGGGGGGGGGGGGAGGGATTGTTAGTAATGGGGAGTTTAGTCCCCATTGCTATCAATATACCCTATCAGGTCGACCTCCACGCGGTTCCTCCTGGAAACTATCGTGACCAATTTATCATTGAATTCGTCACAATAGGCTAACTGACATGCCTTTTCATCCTCACCTATCCTCACCGCTCACTGGTACCCCGCCAGCGTATAACGATAGCGCAGGCGGGGTAACCATGCCATTTTCACGCATAAAAACGTGACCCGTCCTGGAAAGGATCGTGGTTAATTCTGGATGAATTAATCACTATGAACCAACTGGCCTGCTTTCATCCTCACCTATCATCCCTCACTGGTGCCCCGCCAGCGTATACTGATACCGTAAGTGGGATTACAATTCTATTGTCACTGAGGGGAAAGGGATTATTAGTAATGGAGACTGAGAATCCCATTGCTAGCAATATACCCAACCAGGTCGACCTCCTCGCGGTTCCCCCTGAAAACTATCATGGTTAATTCCTGATGAATTCATCATGACGGGCTAACTGGCCTGTTTTCATTCTCATCTATCACCCTTCACTGGTTCTCCGCCAGCGTATACCGTTAGCGCAGGCGGGGTTACCATACTATTTTCACCCAGAAAACAAAAAAAAAATTTCATTGCCACTCATAAAAAACAAACAAACCGCATGAAAACTCAATTTACCTTTACACCATTAACTATATTGCCATTGATCTTAGCGTTCGAAGTATTTACAGTTGCATTGTCTTTAGCAACATTCCCTTCTATATCTCGTTTTCTTCTAGAAGACTCTAGACCATTCGCTGGGGATCTATCCAGCTCCATTCCGGGCACATACGAGATTGTCTCAATAATTAAGTTGTCAACTTCTGCCCCTTCATTGACGAGGGTGTCGTTGGCTAGTCCCTTGACATTGGGGGCGTATACGTTGTCTTCTATCTGTTCACGGGAGGAGTTCTCGCCGCTCTCCACGTATTCTGTTGATCTGTAACAATCGATTTGTTATTATAATTTTTCTCTTAATTTTTTAACGCGACGTACAATGGCGAATTAGCTGACGGCCCACCTGATGGTAAGTATTGTATTATTTTTTAATAGATGATAATGGAATGGTGACCCTGCCCGCGCTATCGGTATACGCTGGCATGGCACCAGTGAGGGATGATAGGTGAGGATGAAAAGTCAGATCAGTTAGCCCATCGTGATGAATACACCTGGAATTCAGCACGATGGTTTTCAGAGAGGACCACGTGGAGATCGACCTGCTAGCAATCCACAATACTAACAATCTGGGGGGAAAGGGATTGTTAGTAATGGAGACTGAGAATCCCATTGCAATATACTGAACCAGGTCGACCTCGAAACTATCATGGTTAATTCCTGATGAATTCATCATGATGGGCTAACTGGCCTGTTTTCATTCTCATCTATCACCCTTCACTGGTGCTCCGCCAGCGTATCCCGTTAGCGAAGGCCCTGGAAAAAAACCCTGATACCTCAGTTAGGTTCTGCTAGCAAATGTTCGAACACAGTCGATTCCTCCCAATCGCAAATCCAAGCTAAGAACTACCTACAACAGAACCTACCCATCAAAAAAAAAATTACTAAAAATTCTTCCCCCCCCCCCCCCCCCCTTAGAACTTGAACAGCATCGTGGATAGGGGAAGGGGTTTTTAGTATTTTTTAATAGATATGAATAGGGGAATGGATTGTTAGTAATGCGGACTATGAGTCCTTCATAAATTCTATATTTATTTTGTCTTATAATTTCTGCATCTTTTTAAAGCGTAAACACTCATTTTATTTATTAAATAATTAAATATAGATACGTCAAGATACATTGTATGCGTAAGTATATAGAACACTGATAAACAAAACGAGTTAGCCAATTTCATAATTAGCCGACAAAAAGTTGACCCGTTTTTGAGCCTCGAGGCTCTATTTATATAATCTAATATTGAGGCATATTCGTAAAATATATCTTATTATATCTATTAATAAAGTAAACTTTTATTTTATTTGTTACTTGTTCATACAAAAACTTTCTATTTTAACTTAATTGAAATCTGTATAATCTAAGTGTAGGTAAGCTACTTAGTCTTACACTAGTATAGTATTACATTATCTGTGGTCTTACTATCTACTCTCCACTGAGATAATCGAAGCGTATCTACGCTTACGCAAAACTTTGTCAATTTCCTGATATCTGGTAGTATATCTGATTTTAAACAGAATGATGATCGATCGTGTATCATAAGGTATGATTTTAGAACGTGCGTCAATGATAGTAAATCATTATCACATTAAAAAAAAAAAAACTTTTGAGCAGAAAAAAAACATGTTTCAAGTGAGACAAAACCAGTTGTTTTAAAGTAAAAATGAAAACACAGAAACGATTTTCGTAATATTTCTACGGGGACAATCTGTAAGTGTATCTTTTCAGATAAAAAATTATTTTCCAAATCTGTTTACTACTGACAGAGATAGAAGGTAACAAATATAAAAAAAAAAAATACAGTAGAATTTTTTCTTTATGCAACTTAGAATGGCAAACAAACTGACGGCCCTCCTGGTGGAAAGTGGTAACTGTCGCCTATAGACATGAGCAGTACCATGGACAAAACAGAATTGAATAAAATAAATACCTTCAGTTTGAAGTCGGTTGAAAATGCCGAGTCTCATAGCGTAGTTTTTTCACTATATAAAGTTGTGAAAACTCAATACTACAATGACTTGGCAATTAATTGTACAGCAATCACAATTATAAAAAAAAAATGTAATACAAGTTCTACTATATTGATTTTTTTTATAATTTTTTTTTTTAAAGATATACACAACAGGTTACAGACAATAACGTTATATTTATAGAAAATTCGAATGGATGCTAATGAAATGTTTTTTTTTTGATGGGTGAAAATGGTATGGTAACCCCGCCTGCGCTAACGGGATACGCTGGCGGAGCACCAGTGAAGGGTGATAGGTGAGAATGAAAACAGGCCAGTTAGCCCATCATGATGAATTCATCAGGATTTAACCATTACAGTTTCCAGGGAGAACCGCGAGGAGGTTGACCTGGTTGGGTATATTGCTAGCAATGGGATTCTCAGTCCCCATTACTAACAATCCCTTTCCCCTCGCTAATGAAATGGTTACCCCCCACGAGGTGGGGGAAGGGAGTTAAGATTTGCACGTGGTCCCCCATGGAAACAATCATGTTGAATTCCAAGTGTATTTATCACAGTAGGCTAACTGACCTGCCTTTTTATCTCACCTGTCATCGATCACTGGTGCCTCGCCAGTGTACATCGATAGCGCAGGCGAGGCGAACCTTCCATTGTCATCTCATTAAAAAAAAAAAACTAATTATATATCTCCACATCTGTTTCGGTAATGTATTGTTGTAAAATGCAAGTATGACGCAGCGGCCATGACGGAACGCCGGTCACGCGTCACATCAGTTGGCCGTTCACCTCAACACGATGCGTACTCTATCTACCAATATCTACTCTATCTACGTCCGCCTACTACAATTGCCTGTACATGAAAAAAAAAATAAAAAATGTATTTAAGAAAAATCAATATGAGGGAGTTTTATAAGATTAATAAATGCCCAAAACAATGACGTGTCTTATCAAGGAATCACAAAACTACATTTTTGTGAAAAAGGAATAAAGATTTCAACCAAAGTGTATCAAGATACAGTCTTGGATCGTGTTGTGAAACCTCAGCAATACACTTTTTAAAAATATACCGTGGTCTTACCAGCAGGACTCTGGACACCTGGTCACAAGGCACGAACTACCCAAGCCTGGCTTGAAAACAACATTCCGGACTTTATAAGAGCTGAAGACTGGCTCCATCTAGCCCAGACTTCAACCTTTTGGACATCAAATTACGGTCAATTTTAGAAGACATGGCCTGCTCTAAACGACACAGCGTCATGGAGTCTCTTAAAAAATCTTTGGAGTAAGCAGTGGTGAAATTTCCTTTGGAAATAGCGCATAAATCCATAGATTCGTGGCCAGACAGATTAAAGGCCTGTATAAAAGCCAAAGGTGGCCATTTCGAATAGAATATATATTTTTAATTTTTTGCTGAGACTTTATTAAATATGTAGACTTAATATAAATAAGTAAACTTTAGTAATATTACATTACATGATAAAAAAATGCATTTTCATTTGAAACCGAACTTATGGCTGGACCAGGTTTTTTTTTATACCACTGAGGTGGCAAACAAGCATACGGCCCACCTGATGGTAAGCGGTTACCGTAGCCTATGAACGCCTGCAATATCAGAGGTATTACGCGCGCGTTGCCGACCCTGAAGAAACCTCTTTACCCCCTTTTGAAGAACCCTATGCTGTAGTCTTTTAGGAAAACCTTGGCGGCTCATTTCATAACCTGAGTGTTCGTGGGAGAAAACATCTCTGAATTGAGGTAAATCTCTGAGGTATTTCTATCTACATAATCTAAGGTTATTTATTAACCTGACAATCTCTTTATTTTTTTTTTGCTATAGTGGAAAACATTCTCTTTCTACGGTAAGTAAGAACGAATGCATTCTAAATTTAAATATACGTGTCATACAATGCGTCAGCGAACTGTTTGTCGTGACGTCACATAGAATGAGTAAGACTGACAGTACTCGTATAGGGAAAAATAGAATTAATTTAAATATGTCTATTACATACTGACGATACGCTTCAGCTAGTTTTTCTAGAAATATAGCTCACGTTACGCGTTGTTTATCGTTGTTTGTTACAAAAAACCATACGTACATATAATTTTCGAAAATATGTTAAAGCCTCATTATCGTTTTTGAGGCTTTTTTTTATACAACTTAGAATGGCGAACAAGCTGACGGCCCACCTGATGGAAAGTGGCAATCGTCGCCTATAGACATGAGCAGTACCGTGGACATAACAGAGTATACTGTTTCGCCCGTGACACCCCTCATGCGTTGCCATTACTAAGGACTCAGGTGTTATTCATTCTAAGTTGTATAAAAAAAAAAAAAAACAGGAATATAATATTTTGACAAAATTATTTACAAGGTCCGCTCTTATCTTACAGTTTGGATTCTGAAAACTATGATGTATGTATTACGTACAGATTACATCCTAATATCTATATATAAAATCGTAAAACGAGGTCGAATTGTACGTTTGTACGTAAAATAGATCATTAATGCTTATACGAGGTTTGTCCGGAAAGTACGTATAAAAGTTTTTTAAAAATTTTATTTTACAATTATTCAGGTAAATCAATTTTATCCCCTTCAAAGTACTCCCCCTGTGACATAATGCACTTGTGCCAACGCCGTTTCCACTGTGAGAAGGCTCCTTGAAAGTCCTCTGGTTGTAGGTTTCTCAGCTGCCCCGTCGTAGCTTTTTTTATCTCATTTATGTCCCCCAAATGCCGCCCCCGAAGTACCAATTTGGTTTTGGGAACAAGAAGAAGTCACACGGGGCCAAATCCGGCGAATAGGGGGGGTGTTCGGTCACCGTAATGGAATTTTTACTCAAAAACTCACGGACAACAAGAGAGGTGTGGGCAGGGGCATTGTCGTGGTGAAGAATCCAACGCCCCTCTCGCGCCAATTCTGGACGAACTCGTGCCACACGAGCTTTGAGGCGTCTGAGCACATCGACGTAGAATTTTCCATCAACTGTCTGGCCTGGAGGGACGAATTCTTGATGGACAATCCCCCGAACATCGAAAAAAACAATCAACATTGTCTTGACATTTGAGCGGGATTTTCTTGATTTTTTTGTTCGTGGTTCCCCGGATGTCTTATCGAATTAGATCGGCAAAAATTTCACGGCCATTCTTGCCGAGTTTCGAGAGAAACTTGATTACGACGCGCTGCTCTTCAACGGAAGCGGGCTCCATGCCGACGGGGTTTCGTTAAGAGGTAACTTCACAGATGGCGTGACAAGCCAGTTCGCACCGCACGGCGGTCAGACCAGAACTGAAGCATTGT